GACGGATAAACTGCTTGTATTATCAACAACATATGACACCGAGCCATTGATGTAATAAGTTGGTTCAGTGTAATATCAAACAACAGACCAATTATATTATCAAACAATAAAAGGAAAAAAAAACATTTGTGTACTAAATCATTAGCTTCAAACTGTTGTTGAATGAAATTGATCTTAGTGAAGTCTACTTTTAAGTTTATCAGTTGTACTTGATGATGACTGACTTCTAAATTTATAATAATCAGTTGTAGTGAATGTAGTTTCATCATTAAACAATCACTGAATAGGTGTTCATGTCTGTTAATTTAAGTTATTGGAAAATCTTTAATATAACGCCTAATGAAGTCACATTTGCAAAATATTAACGAATTCTTGTACTCTTCAGTCTTCGTTTCCTGCTTAACTTCATATTAATCAAAAATACCTCATCTATCAGACATTTTATTCTTTAAATTACAAACTACTTAAATTTTGTTACAGTAGTTAGCTTCTTACAATATAATTTTACTCCGGTATTCTGTTTCGTTATTGTGACTATTATTATTATTATTATTATTATTATTATTATTATTATTATTATTATTATTATTATTATCAGCCTTACACATAAAAAGATGTTTAGTCAAACATGACACATTCAACAGCAATAAAAATGAGGGTGTAGTGGGGGGGGGTAACAAAATAGATTATTGTTTTTTTTCCATTTCCTTTTTCTAATCTAAAATCCCCTAACTAAATTATACCTTATTAATCTAATCCTGTTTCATTACAGTAAGCCAGTTGTTTTAAACAATCAAACACTTATCTAAAACAATTGAAACATTTAATTTGATATATCTGATTTATGAAAATGTAACATAATTATCAAACAGAGAAGAAAATAACCATGAAACAAGATTGACTTTCTATGATAAAAGATGAATAATTCGAAGTTGTAAAATAACTGATAAATCAAACACATCTATAACGGAAGATGATGATGATGATGACTTTAATATGCTGGGGGTAAATTCATCGACCTCTAAATGCTCTGATATGGCCGAGTGTGGAGAGAGTCATCTCTCCTTCTCGAAACGCTCTCACATGACTATTCACATATAGCCACTGCCATGGAAGTCCTACTCAATGCCTTCTCGTAGCGTGGGTGTGGTTTATGAAATTGATGATGTAAAGCGAGTGTTCGGCGCTTAGGCTGGGTTAATGGACATGGAGGATCCACCTAGAGGAGTTGGAAAACTCTGATTCCAAATCATTGATGCACATGGGCCCCATGATCCTGAGGAAACAAATTGCATATGAACCTACTGTTGGTCACTGACTACCGTGAGACCGCATCTTCTTACGCTGCTCCACTGCCTAGTGTATTACGCTTCGTTTGCCTGCGCAACTGCTTTCTTTCTCAAACGTTTATGGAGATCGGTTCATCATGATATACTATCAAGTGAGTAAATTTTCAAACTAGCGTGTACCATATAAGTATTTTGTTCTACACCGAGACGTATAAAGATTTTCTTAGTTCACCACCTCATTATCGACTGTTTCACGATAATAACGTGACCATCTTAAAGAGTTCTTAATGATAATTCTAACGTAACTGAATTCCATAAATCACTCTATCTCACTAGAACGTTAATATTTTCCCCATCTACGGTGTGTGCTACCGATGTCGACAGATATAAGTAGTATGTATCATCAATCGAAGGTGGAATGCGTGACGGAAGAAGGTTAAGAAGATGAAAGCGAAGAGAAAGAGAGCATAGAGTGATTGACGTGGGAACGAAGGAACAGTCAAGCGTAAGACTATTGAATGATATTTTGCAAATGAAGTATTGACTGTATGTTTTACTCAGACTTTACCAAGAGATTCTGTAATTTTGGTTTTCCCACACCTATGTTCCCATTCACTACACTACCACTTAACTCACTTTGGTTAGTATAGTACCATAACTTCACCAATTTATAATACTTGAAATTCAAATTCATAAATATGTACCTGTTTGATAAGTTACATTAAAGTTTTGTACAGTAGTTTATAAATTAAAGAACTCAAATTCACTTGCTACTGTTACTTGAACCCTTCCATTGATTTTTTAGGTTTGCAGTTGGATCAGTCTCTTATTGGCATATGTGTATACTGTATGTATTGCTAATTGGATAACGGGATTGCGTTAGGAGCGAACGGTATTGAGTTTGAGTCCCAGAATGAACATCAAATCTGAGATGCAGGTACACTCAGCTGACGAGTCCCAAATAGGACGAAACGTGCGTCAAACTGGTTCCACTGCTAACCACTATCCATCTTTGCTTATTAATGCACACAGTTTTCTGATCATAAAGTTTCACATTTAAAATTCTCTTTACTTAATTTGATAAGTAGTACACTACTTTGTCACATAGTAACATGATATAATTTTAAGGCTGATTACTAAGTGTTATCTTTTATAAATGAAATGGATTGTGTCATAGTAACACCTATTTATATTAAACTACCTCTTTCTGTTATTGAAGCTATTCAGTCAAGATGAATCTAGATATTTGAGTCTATAAACTTTCAACTAGTGTTAGGAATATAAGCTATTGGGTCTCAGTTTGTTGCTAAAAAGCTATGAAGTCTAGAGGTTTCTTAGGTTTAATCTTGAATGGGTTTGTAGATGTACACTATTGAGGTCCCTTTTACTATAACTAAATAGATATCTAGTGTTTTTTTCGGGAATGTTAGGTCCACAGAATTCACTTGGTAAATGTCTTATTTTTGCAAATTAATTTTAAAAATTTGAATTTGTTGTTTAAGCGCCAAAAGCACCTCTTTTCACCTTCATATCGTATTTTTCACCTAAAGGAGGCCTTAAATGTCATTGGTTTGTTGTCTATCTTAACATGTTATTTTGTAACGTTTACCAAGAAGATTTTTGTTCTGTATCTATACTCTTGAATTGTGTTTGTGGTTTTCGTGGCTGCTTGTGGAATACATTTCTCTATTCTGAACCTGAACTTCTGTCTCGAGTTAGCGGGACTGGGATACATCGGACTAGTTAGCTTATTAAATCATTGTTTCACTGAATGTTTGTTTCATTCACAGATTACGTGAACTCGTAATCTCTTCAAATATAGCAATTTTGTGATGTTTAATTGTTCTTTATTCAAGATCATTCCACGATATAAATCAATAATATACACAAATCCTCTGTACTACTATGTTCATAACTTCAAATATCAACCTATGGTGAAATAAAGTTTGAAATAGTCAAATCAGAATGTCACTGAATTGGCATCAAACAGTCTACATCTTCGACTTCAGTCAGTAAATGTGAAGATTATAGAACAAAATTAGTGACATTGGTTCCATTTGAATTGTAGTGAGAACGACATGAGATATCAAGCCCATCAGTTTGATATTATTTAATGTGTGAAAGTGATAGTATCCGACTAGGAAACAGTAAACCTAAGGGCACATTTTTTTCGAGCGATTTGACTTTTAGATTACCTAAACCGCGCATTTAAGAAGAAAGTGAAATGATGAATTGTAATCAGAATATGTAAACTTAATAGAGGATAATCAACTGTATTCACATCATTACTAAGCATAGATCTAATGAGCTTAGAAGATTCAAAACATTAAATTTGGACATAAGTTAAGGAAACATTGGAAATTGGGGAGTACTGGAAACCTGTCTTATTCTAGTGTGAGATTGAGAAGTCTTCAGATGATGATAAAATCCAATTTTAACATTAAAGGAAACTTCCTGTTATTTCAAATCAGTCAGTTATCTTCAGTTTGCTTGTAACTATGAGAAACTATGACTAATGTGATTTATTATCAGAAGGGTGTTTTTGTGGATACTATAGTAAGTTAATAGTTGAGTTCATGAGTCCATTAAAGCTAGACCATCATGGAAAACCCGGAAGCCGTTTTTTCTTAGTATGGGACTCCTTTGACTTAGTCAAATAACTAGTGAGAAGGAATTTGTGAAGTAAGATAACTGTCTCTTTATATCATAAAATGACTGGATGTAATGATATAGATTATAAATTTACAACTCAGTATCTCAAAGACAACATACTAGAATCAAGACCTGAAGATCCCTAGTGTTGGGACGGCTTCCGAGAACTACAACAGAGCCTCTCGTGGCTCTAAAGGAGTTGAAGAGTTTCCGTTCAATCAGAACGTGATGGAGCTTTTTGAAATATCAACGTCACATGCTACTGTTGGACAGTAGCATAACATATCTCTTTACGAATTGGCTGATTTAGAATGTCGATATAACAAACGTTAATATCTTTAAATACCCATGATTTTCTGTACATTTTGATTGTTACTCAACAAGTACTACTCAAGTTTTCTTCTGTCTTATGATTTGAAACTGTGGACGTTCTATAAATTCTGGTGCCGTAGTTGTATACCGTATTCTACGTTAAGTAAGCAGTGAACTTAACACTTAGTTCTGTCCACGGATCTAATAATATCATACTAAACAACCATTACATTGTCTTTAGATCATTAAGTTGATTATCTTGCCCCCAAATGCCCTGGTATGGCCGAGAGTGGGATGGGCCCACCCTTCCTCTCGAAATGCTCTCACACGGTCACGCGTATACAGCCACTGTCAAGGAAGTCTTACTCACTGCCTTCTCGTGGCGGGGGTGTTGTTTACGGAAATGAGAGGACGACAAGCAAATGTCCGGCGCCTTAACCGGATTCCAAACCAATGGTGCACATGGGCTCCATTATCCTGAAGGAACAAATTGAGTATGAACCAATCGTTGGTCACCAGCTACCACGGGACTGTATCTCCTCACGATGCTTCACTGCCATGTGGGTCAGACCCTTAAGTCCAAGGCTCGGGGCGTAGCCCCCTAAGGAAACCAGTTGCTTCGGTCTGGGCACCCGAGCAGTATCCCAGCCCTCACACAAATCGAATGATTTATGTGGCGCATATCTATTTGGTGCCCCGTTGTACCAATGTTTATGTGTTTAAATAAATAAATAGAAATCATCTTACACTTTTTATGTGTATTCCCATTCATCATCATTGTCGTACTGTCAACTTTTTCACTTCTCATTTCTTGACATACATTATATGTAGTACAGTTTTCACCTGTTAATATATTTCGAAGAGATTTGGATGATAATGTATGATGTGTTGAATCATGTTCATTTATGTTTAAATTTGGTTGGGATAAATGTTTTTCTTCAATAGATATAGTATATGAACGACCACGTGAACCATCTCCAGTTAATGGTGAACTAAGATCTGTCAAGAAATAAAACATAATGAGAATAGAAAGAAGGAAAACTGAAGATAAACAATGATTATGTAACATTAAAAAGGTACTCGATTCAAGTGATATATTAAGCCTTAGAATTGATGACATATTTAATCGGTATTAAAAAAATGAATTCATGGTCATCTAGTACCGCAGAAATAAACTGAATGGTCAAGTCGGTGATGGGAATAATTTTCAGTTCATATTTACTTACTTACTCCTGTAACTCTTAATGAAGCATAGGCCACCGAACAGCATTCACCAACTCACTCTGTCCTGGGCCTTCTTTTCCAGTTCTATCCAATTGTTCTTCATTCTTCTAATGCTTGTCTCCATTTCTCAACGTAATCTGTTCTTTAGTCTTCCACTTCTCCTGTATTCAACCTTGACGATTCCAAGTGAGGACTTGCATTGTGACACAGTTGGGTGCTTCCCTCAATGTGTATCTTATCCATTTCCAGCTCTTCTTCCCGATTTCTTCCTCCTCTGAAATCTGGCTTGTTCTCTCCCATAGTAAGTTGTTGCTGATTATGTCTGACCAACGGATCCGAAGTAGTTTGCGTAGACAACTGTCGATAAATAACTGTATCTTCTGGATGATGACTTTCGTATTTCTCCAAGTTTCAGCCCAATACAGTAGAACTGTCTCGACATTTGTGTTGGAAATTATGACTTTGGTTTTGGTTGGCAGACAGATTTTCTTCAATTGTAGATTTGCTTTATCGATCCGCGCCTTCACATTTTCATCCAACCCACCGTATTCATCAACGATGCTGCCTAGACATTGCAATGTTTTTATATCTTCTAAATCTTCTCCGTCAATTGTGATTTGTTTGGTACAAGTTGTGTTGTATCGGAGAATTATTTCATAGTAAGTTGCTACTTATAATCTAACTGATCATTTATCGTTATTAACATGAATAATGAAAAAAAACATTACAAATAACTTTATCTCCGTTACAAAGTTATTGACTGTCCAGAATAAGTAGCTCATTTGATAACACTCTTAGTGTTTGAAGCTGTAAGTAATGGGTTTCAAACAATATTAGAGTGTCGATACTAAGATATAGCTAAATCTGGTTGAAAAGTCGCATATTAGACAGAACATACGTCTTGTATTTCAACTTTCTTAATAGATATGTCAACCCCCGTTCATAACTTCAAGCAATTGATTTATATGATTGGGTTAGGATTAAAAAATAGACAGTAAGACATTGTTTTTAACCAACAATAGAATGGTAAAATGAATTCAGTTCTAAAAAAAGAAGGTCAACAAGTACCCGAATGACTTGCTACTGTTGTAATGTATTCTACCTGTGCCAACAAATATAAGTAGTATGTGGCACCAACTGGAAGTGGAATGACTTAAGAAGAATGGTGTGAATATTGATTTGAAGAGAATAGGAATGTTAAATAAGCAATTATAACAACAACAACAGAAATAGGAGAATCATGAAGCATGGAAAAGACAACTGAAGGAACATGTGCAAATGATGTATTTCATGTGCAGTTTCTATATTTTATAATGACATTTTGTAATTTTGCCTGATGGGTTAGTTTACCCTCACCTAGTGTTTGTCCGATGTGTCAAATGTGTGAATTATAAAAGATAAGTATCCTAAGTGAAAATTTAAAGAATAGTTTCCGTAAATACGATCTGTACTTTATACTTTTAATGAGAAAAGGCTTCTTCTTCTTCTTCTTCAAGATTATCAATTAGCTAAGATTTCAATCAAATTAACTGATGAAAAGCTGGAGATGGTTGAAACATTCGTGTGCTTGAGTAGCTATAAGTAAGGATATACAATGATTCGACGATGATGTCACACTTGATAGAGAAGTTCTGGAAGAGGTGGAAACTTTCCGTATCTAATCGGGAAGCATAATTGATGACCAAGGAGGGTCTAATGCAGATGTGAATGTAAGGATTGGCAAAACAAGAACAGCATTCATACAATTGAAGGAAATATGGAACTCAAACACAACTGTCAACCAATATCAAAGTCAGAATATTCAATACAAACGTCAAGACAGTTCTACTGTACGAAGCTGAAACTTGGAGAACTACCACAACCATAATCAAAAAGGTATAGATATTTATAAACAATTATCTACACAACATACTCAATGTTCGTTGACCGGATACGATCACAAACAACCCATTGTGGTAGAGTACAAATCAGCTTCCAGTTAAGTAAAAAATTAGGGAAAGACCATGAAGGTCAAATATTGAGAAAATCATCAAACTGCATTAAGTGACAAGCTACAACTTTGAATCCTAAAGGAAAACGTAAAAGAGAAAGACTGAAGTACACACTGTATCGGGAAGCGAAAGCAGACAACAGAAGAATGAATGGCAACTCGAAGGGATGAATGTTTCCAATTCACTTTTACTGTTTATTAAACGTGCCTGCAACATATTTCTTTTTTTGATGCGAAGCATTTACTTAAATATATGACTTGCTATAGTATGAAATCTAGTAGATTTATTTTATTCACGTTTAATTCTTTGGGGGTTCTTTTGAATTTCAATTTTACTAGTATTAAACTGGTTAATTCATTTTCCGATTTCATTCACTCAAAGCTTGAAATATCTTCTTGTAGAGCATGGTATGTTCATTTTAAACAAAGATGGATAGTAGCTAACAGTGAAATCCACTTTGACGTGCATTTCATCCTGTTTGGGACTCGTCACCTAGATGTATCAGCATCTCAGAGTTAACGTTCACTCCGGGACCCGAATCCAATACTGTTCGCTTCAAATACCATCGTGTTATCCACTTAGCTACCGAGTCCCCATAGCTATCTGCTTGTGCAATGCTTTGAAGGTTAAATTTACTTGATGTTGTTCTACTTGTATGTTCTCATTTAGGACTGCAATTGATCAGTCTCTTGTTGGCATATGTGCATCCTGTGCGGATTGCCTCGATATAGCCTTAAGTCACAAGCTTTTTAAGCAAAGATGGACAGTGGCAGTTCATGCTGGATAAACGCATTCAAGGTAATGGTAGAAATTTCATCGTTAATTCATACGTAAATATAAAACTTATAACAAATTATATTATGATTTCATAACTGTAACTAATGGACATGTAGGAATGATTCAAATGATATTTTCAGTTTCTTAATTGAATTCACAAGTTAATCTAAGCTGAACCACCATTTAAAACCTAAAAGCACTAGACAGTTGTTTCATCCTAGTGTGGGACTTTTCAGAAGTGCTCATCCATGATTTCAATTGCGTGACTCGAACCCAGGACCTTCAAAGATCAAATATACAAAATACTTACCATCCGAACATACAGAGAGATAGTAATAAAATGCATCAAACTAACATTTATTAAGAATATTCTATATCTCACCTCTTTTTTTGACAGTCCTTTTAGATTCCCCTAAACGATAAGTGTAACTTTCAACATTCTCTCCACTTAATGGATTTTGTCGATCTGTATTTATCAAAATCAAAATTAAATATTTGTAAGTGAACTTTTGATTTTTTTTACAGTTAAATTCATGCTACTTAAAATAAAAAAAAGTAGTAATGAATATGAGATGTTCATTTATTAGTTGAATTCACGAGTCAGTTAAATCTAGGCCATCATGGAAAACATGGAAGCACTAGACGGCCGTTTCGTCCTTGTATGGGGCTCCTCAGCAGAGCGCATCCACGATCACGTACTGCGGAACTCAAACACAGATGTTCATTTATCCATGAATCTGTGAGACCTATAATTTATGGACGACCTTTGAGCAACGCTAAAGTGACAATAAGAGTGTTCACCTATTTATTAAGATTAAATGAGAGGTATAAATTTGTTCTGAAAATAAGGATTATGATTTACAATTGATGGTTATGAACTAGATCTAGAGTTTTTATCTCGAACTGACATCAGCTGCTAGCGATATTCCATAAAACATCAGCTAGTATATCAAAATGCTCATTAGCCAAATGGATGAATCAATTTCGATCCGAAGTCCAAGACCTAGTCATTATGTTCAAAGTATCTTGATATAGCGAAGTCTCTAATGATCAGATAACTTAACCACGTAATTGCTACACTAAGGGTAGTAATTAATGTTTATTATTTGTGATCTATACTAGATTTATGTGAACATGCATTAAAGCTATGTTTAGGGATTGTGAAAAAGATCAAAGAAACAATGCTTTTGTCACATATTGTCTAACAAGCCCTGAAACAGATCACATTGATTCTGCGAACTACAGTTAGAAGGTTTTTTTGATTGAGATCATGAACCTATTGTTGTTAGACCACCAGTGAAATACTGGAAGCACTGGACGGCCGTTTCGTCCCATTGTGAGACTCCTCAGCAGTGCGGACCCACGATCCCGCTCGCAGGATTCAAACTCACGGCCTTCAGTTGAGCACGCGAGACTCCACAACCATATACTGATATTTTGAAAGTTGACAATTTATAATGAAAATCAAACCAACTCTCAATGTTACTGCAACTCATGCGATATCTTAATGTGAAGTTCTTTAATGTTTTTTTAAATCTTTTCTTTTAATGATCATCACAAGCATACAAACTGTCTTGTGAAAAAGCACAGAAGACAAATATATTACTCATCAAGATCTACAAAAGTTCGTAACTAAACCAAACAATTCACCATGTTTATCTAATAGAACACTTCAATCCCCAACATGACTCTTTTATTGTTTCCCTCATTCACTAACAACACACTACATAAGTTTTCATTCAAATGCTTTTTTTTATACCATTCAAATACGACGCATTTCTTTGCAAACACTTAAGTAACCGTTCTTACCCTTCTTATTTGAGCAGCTAGTTAAGCTCGTCAGCAAAAAGCTTATTTATGAGTATCGGAATCGAATACTGGACAACAAAACAACTTCAACATAGAACAAATGATAGGAGCCTGAAACTATAAAAAAAGCTTTAATCTGAATACAGCAAGCATATGTATAAGTATGAGTGACCCATGATCTAAAGAAGTTCCTAAAAACATGTTGGAATTAATAATGGAACCGATCATTTTCAAATCAATACTGTTCATTACTAGAACTCTTCAAGGTGTTTTTATTGAACACTGATTAAACTACATATTTTTAGCCTCTTTTTATCTGAGGAATTCCCGATGGGAATTTAACCACATATTAGAATGTGATATAAAACATATTGTTTATGAAGTCGATAATGCCCCCCCCAAATGCCCTGGTACGACCGAGAGTGGGGCGAGTCACCTCTCCCTCTTCAAACGCTCTCACACGACTGATAAGTCTTGCAAGTTGTACGCTATATTCGGTTCCTAAGCTATTCTTGTAACCCTCCAAGCTAGAACTACACAGCAACCTGAACACGAGAGAAAAGATGCAAAATATGCGAGAAGCAATGTACTCCAAAGGTTCGTTTTAATACAGAAAATATAGGGATTTTATAGTAGTTTAAATGTCCTTGGGTTGCTCGAAGATTCTGGAATGCTACTAAAAATAGTAGCAGTATAGCAATCACCCAATCAGGAACTTTACATATGACGTTTCACTTCCTTGATGTTTCTGGCTAAAACTTCAAATGAACGCTGATTGGATGAAATGCTTTTTAGTGTTTCCTGATCCTTGCTTGTCTTTTGCGAGAAATTTTCTGGATCACCCCAACAATGACCACGTGCATACAACCACTGCCAGGGAAGTTCAACTCAATGCCTTCTCGCTGCGGTGTTGTTCACGAAAATGAGAGGACGAAAAGCGAATGTACGGCACTTTAACCTGATTGGTGGATACGGATAGTTCAACTAGGGGAAATGGAAAACCCTCATTTTAAACCAATGGGCTTCAGGATCCTGGCGGAAAAAATTGCGCATGAACCAATCGTTGGCTGCCTTCTACCATGGGACTGTATCTCCTAAGGTTGCTCCACTGCCTTGTGGATCAGACCTTTAGGTCAAAGGCTTCAAGTATGGCCATTTAAGAAAACGACCTGCTTCAGTTTGGGCACCCGGACAGTATCCCAGCCTTCATACAACTCGAATGACTTATGTGGCACATATCTATTTGATGCCTCCTTGTACCAATGTTTATGTGTTCAAATCAATAAATAAATGGTACATAAGTGAGACTTACCTTTAACCACTCTAGGTGTAACATTTCTTTCAATTGGTGTTATTTTGTAACTTTGAAGATTTTCACCAGTCACTGTGTTCCTGTATACTAGAATAACCAATAACAATGATAATAAAAGAAACAAATATGGTATGTATTAAGAATTAACCACAGTGTACATCATGAATTGATCTTAGTTAGATCACAACTGAGAACTAAATAGTAATGGATACATATCTCTATTCAGTGTAGAACTCCTCAACAGTTCACATCCATAAGCTCAATGAAGGTCGAATCCAGTAATCAATAACCGAATTAATACCGCCTAAAGAACAAGTAACAACGGACTGGAAAGAAGGACACCTGATCAAGATACCAAAGAAAGACGATCTCAGCAAGTGTAAGAACTACAGAGAAATCACGCTTTTCTCAATAAAACGGTGTTTCTAAATAGAATGAAGGACTCCGTAGATGCCTAACTTCGAGACCAACAGGCTACATTCCGTGTACCGACAAAATCACAACACTACGGGTCACTGTGGAACAATCAATTGAATGTAATTCATCACTCTACATCAACTTCATAGACTACGAGAAAGCATTTGATAGCGTGGACAGGACAAGACTATGGAAGTTTCTTCGACACTACGGCGTGCCTCAGAAGATAGTCAATATCATACCGAATTCCTATGATGAATTAAACTGCAAAATCGTGCATGGAGGACAATTGACAGACTCTTGAGAGGTAAAGACTGGTGTTAGGCAAGGCTGCTCACTCTCACTCTTTCTCTTTCTCCGGGTGATCGACTGAATCATGAAGACATCAACATATGGGCCGAAGCACGGGATATAGAGGACAACTAGGATGCAGGTGGACGATTTAAACTTCGCAGATGATCTAGCTCTTCTATTGCAAACTCAACTACAAATACAGGAGAAGACGACTAGTGTAGCAACAGCCTCATTATCAGTAGGTATCAATGTACAAAAAGGGAAAAGCAAGATTCTCCGATACAACACAACATGCATCAATCGAATCACACTTGATGGAGAAGATTTGGAAAATGTATCAATCATTACATATCTGGGCTGCATCATTGATGAACACGGTGGATCTATTGCAGATGTGAAGGTGTGGATTGGAAAAGCAAGAGCAGCATATCTACAATTGAAGAATATCTGAAACTCAAAATATCTGTCTGTTAACAAACACCAAGGTCAGAATTTTCAATACAAATGTGAAGATAACTCTACTGTATTGAGCAGAAACTCGCAGAAATACGAAAGCCATCATTCAGAAAATACAAGTGTTTACTAACAGTTGTCTACGCAAAATACTTCGGATCCGTTGGTCAGACACTATCAGTAACAATCTACTTTGAGAGAGAATAAGTCAAATTGTAGCAAAGGGAGAAATCGGTAAGAAGCGCTATAAGTAGATGGAACACACATTGAGAAAGTTATCAACTCTGTTACGAGGCAATCCCTCACTTGGAATCGTTAAGGCTGAATAAAGGAGAAGTGAGAGACCAAAGAACACATTACGCTGAGAAATGGAGACAGACATGAGAAGAATGAACAAGAATTGGATAGAATCGGAAAAAAAGCCCAGGATAGAGTTGGTTGGAGAATGCTGGTGGGCGGTTTCTTCTCCGTTGGGAGTAACAGGAGTAAGTAAAAGTAAAATTAAGGATGGTTTCTTCCCCACGAAATTCGAAGACCTATCTACATTCGATAATGATTTTCGTTTTGTTGTCATCTTCTCTATTTTTTTTACTTACCATAAGGTTTAGCTGTACGTGGTCTTTCTTCTTGAGATACCATAAAAGCGCTAACATTCTCACCATTCAATGGATTTGAAATTTTGACTGGTGTTCGCTTTTTTGATATTTTAACTTCAGAATTATAATCATATGTTGCACAATTCTCACCAGTTATAGCGTTACGTGAAGGTTCTAAAAATGAAGCAGTCATTAAAACAAGAATCTATCATTAAGAACTCCATATGAGAAACATTATTCCTAGGAATCATTTGGATAACTAGAAGTTAAGAATACCCGATTTGCTTAATAACAATAATATTGTATAAGACATATTCAAATCATATGAATAAGCTTATGTCCCATCAAGAATATGGACACAATTTGGTAATAAGCAATAATAAGTAGCTATCACTGGTTCGAGAATCCTTACTGATGACCGCTGAATACTTAAAACTAAACAGACTGTATAATGGTACTGCTCTGTGGTATGCTTGATTATTTTGCATTACCGATATCCTTTCCTTTATGTATAAAAGTTATACTACTTAATAACATGCAGTAGTTCATGTCATCACTGACCATTTTTGAACATGGTTCGGAACAGATTACTGATTAGTCAAGTGAAAACTATAATTCTTTTTCTATTATTGATGGTAGCTGTTTGACACGAAATTTCTATTTCCAACGATTTACCAGTATTTTTCCTTGAAGAACTCCATCTGTAACTCTTTTAAGTCTACTACCGGTCACAAGCCCGTGTAATGGAGGAGGTTCGGGCAACCCCATCTCGTAGAAAACAACCTTGCTAAAAATACGCTAACCAGTTCTCCTTGACAGTGAATTAATATACCTGAATACCTCACTATTTGAGATTTGTAAACTTTATCGGTTATGCTGATTTTCTTTAACATAACCCTTTTCTTTGGATTTTGAAATTTTGCATATAAAATTGTTCAGTGAATGCGAATTATGGAAAGGATCCTATAATTGGTCTAAATAATTCAATATGGTACCTTGGAATTTATTTCATCTTGAGTAGTTGATGATGATTAGTAGTATAAATTCAAACTGAGTTTGTAGCGTTGGTTACTATGTTAAACTCATCTACCTTATTCTAGCTTCTGAACAGGCCAGTTTATTCATTCTTCTTGAGTCATGTTTCAATCTTGTTAATTATTCATTTAACAACTCTGACTGTTTTTATATGAGCGTATGTGTGTGTGGACACTTCTTATCCTATTCATCAAATGTCTGTAGCTTAGGTTTTGTGTGACAATAAATGTCGATTAATGCTTGATTAAATCAAGTTGGCTCACGCGCCTTCTCCACTAAACGTCATTTCACTTCGATCTCTTCTGTTCGTTTCGTTCTTCTGATTGTCTGTCTAGATCAATGAATGTACAAAATATACGTACTCAAAACATTCATTCTCGTATTTGACTTATTTAATTCCGTTATTCACCAATGCGATTTAAGTCTATGAAATACATGAGGATTGACGACATGTATATCTCGATAACGATCAATCATATGATCCGATTGGAATCAGATCCTGGGCCACTAAAATGGTGAGCCCGTTGGTAAAATCGTCCAATCTAATTGACGTCAAAATGAAAGGCCCCATGAAAAGTCCTTTCCTCGTTTCATATATCAATCATCCAGGTTAAAACAAGTTATCTTACAGTATTTATGTCATATAATTTCCTGAATTATACTTCCTAGTACTCAGACACATAAAAATAAATTTCAAAGCAACGAAGTTAAGTTACTACTGAGCGAAGTTTTGAACCATGAGTTAGGCATTTATCAAGTTGATAGGCGTTTAAGGTGAACATCAAATCGGCTACATGTTTGACATCGGTTAGAGACTGCAAATAACTGAAGATTACTGAATACTTTCTTCGTCCAAATTTAGAACTACATAATAGTGTGTACCATGACACCCTCATCGATGTCCTGAAAGTTTTGCATACAACACAAAACTTTCTTAATGTGAATGCGGAAACGTTCGCCAATCAAACGTATGCTAATTATAGGTAGCAACAAGACCAAAGGTTCTGGGTTCGAATCCTGAGTGCAGTATCGCCGATGCGCAGTGCTAAGGAGTCCTATACTAGAACGAAACAGCTATCCAATTCTTTCGGGTTTTCATTATCGGTCTAACATTTATCGATTCATGATGTTAATCGAATACTCAACAATCTCCACAACCCTAATGCTGATACTTATAAATATTTTAATTGCTATCACTCACCTCGTTGTACACGTTTAATAGGAGATTTCAATTCAGGTGAAACTGTGTAATTCTCACAATTTTCTCCAGTGAAAATATTCTTCGTAGAAACTGATTTATTAAAAATAAAAAAAAGAAACATGAAAAGTTGCAGTCCTAAATAACAATGGGAATATTCAAGTAAACAATACCAAGGGAATTTAAACTTCACCCCATTGCACAAGCAAGTGGCTATGAGAACTCAGTATCTAAGTGGATAAAGCGTTGGCGATTGATGCGAACGGTACTGGGCTCTAGTCCCAGAGTGAATATCAACTGTGGGATGCAGATACATCCAAGTGACGAGTCCCGACTAGGACGAAACGCATATCGTGGATTACACTGTTAACCGATATCCATCTTTGCTTATAATGTAATGAGTTACATATTATATAAGGTATCCTTGATTACAAATTTGACTAATTGTGTTAGTTTAATCAACGAAAATATTTTGTAAGATGTCAATCACTATCATTCATCTCCTTACTTAAGATAAGATTTAACATAACTAATTAATCGCTATACTGTTTTATATTGCGGTATCAGTATGGAGAGTAAAGATTTTATTGATTGAGGTAATAGTAATCTATAAAATTGATTTTCTTTTTCAATCATTTGTAACAATGAATTACATTTTAAGGAGTTAATATGTATCAAAAAAATTTTTGTAGATATTATAGTAATTTCACTAGTTGAGATCATGAGTCAATTGAAGCTAGACCATCATGGAAAACTTGGACGTGCACTGCTGAGGAGTCTCACAATAGGACGAAACAGCCGTTTTGAGCTTCCAGATTTTTCATGGTGCTCTAGCTTCAATTGACTCATGATGTCAACTACTAAAAAAAGAATTAATATGAGTTAGACATAGACGTTTGATTAATTAGTGTTGAGTACTACTAAGTTTGCAGTACATAAACGGGATTGGTAATTAATGTAAATCGTATTTACTATAGTGCATTGAGATATTCGTTTCGATTAGTTTTCCGTGCCAAGTAAATCTACATCTAATATTTTCATGTTATTACTTGTGTTGTGAGATTCGTGAAGTCATATAGTTGGTACCAGTTATTATTTGTTATGACAACAACTATCGATGTGTTTTTGAAGGCTGTAGTAAATTATTATCTGAATCGGCTTTTATATTTTTATTTGTGTCGTGAAAACTGCACTGGTTTCCGGTATTGTAATGAACCATTTGAGCTGTAATAGCTTGATAAAATCATTCTTCGATGTATTACCATGCCAGTCAGGCAGCTCAGTTGAAGAGCCGCAGGACTAAAAGCAGCAAATCCAAGGTGTGAAGGCGAAGTCGTACTGCTGAGTGTACACATGTGTGACAGCAGTAAGGTGTTTTCTTCAAACAAACAGCATAAAAGTGATGCTGCCTCCTCTCAAGGAAGGATGGAGTTAGAAAATGTCAATCTTAAAAATACACACCGCACCTTATCCCACAGATTTCTGTCTCCAGCGGTAAGATCCCAACAAGTACCGAGCTAGCACGAAAATTACTCGCAAAAAGGTCGTGTGTAACCGGCCTCAAGTAATTGTCCCCTGGGCATTGCGATCACACTCTCAGATCACTAAGACCACCTCTAATCTAATTTCATTTTCAGGTACTTCTAGAAGAACACTTTCAACAAACATTAAGTTTAATCATATGAGAACTAGGGTATCTTGAACGATTCTGCTAAGCCCAAAGAGATTACACCGAAAATTGGTTAATTGAACAGGGGATTAGCAACACAACAGCAAGACAAGCTAAACTATTCACTGCGCCCCAGCCTTGCTAGCTAGAGGGAGAAGACCAGATTCAATTGAGGGAAAGTATATTACACAAGACGTCAGAATCACGAATGAGCAAGCACATAACTCAAGTATATATAAGCAGTATAAAAATGTCTTTAGGAAACGTCACAAAATACCATATTAGAAAAGGGAACAAACCAATGACATTTAAGGTCCTTCTACGTGGGAAATACAAACTAAAGGTAAAACTGTACGCATTTAGTTCGAAAATGAGAACTTCAACTTCTCAAAATAAAATTACAAAATGAGACGTTTACCAAGTGATTTCTGATGACCTAGCATCCTCAACAGATTCAATGATGAACCATCTAGTTTCATATTTGAAGATATTGATATTAAACTATTCTGGCGATGAGGCAGGAATCAGAATCGCACGTCATCCATCTACTTCTTTACCATTAGTAATACATTTTACGGATGGGTATCAAAGTACGTTACATAACACTACAGTCTATAATATTGTTACTAAGTCACCTTTTTATGTAGATAATTGTTAGCGGGACATAGACTGGATTAAAGCATGCTCAATACACGATTGCTTTGGTGTACGCTGATTGGCTAATTCTTATCTAATCAGCACTAGTCGATACTTGGAGAATACTCTAGAATCTTCTCATGTATTTGGAATATGGTCTCTTTCCTGTTCAACCGTGTTCTGATTTGGGGACTTGTCGAGTGAATCGGTGTCCGACAATACTAAGCAATAGGAATAGCTGGGTCATAACCGTAAGAAAGAGATTATAACAATAATAAATTGATAACATTCACAAATCTCGTTCAAACTGTTTAACTATTAATATTCTATAATCAAACTATGGGATACAAAATAAGAATAAAAATTATTTACCATTTCGTTTACATACACCATTTTCTTTATTTGTACATCTTTCCTCTGCCATGACAGTGAAAGTTTTCACATTTTCGCCAGTTAATGGATTAGTTCTAATACCTAATTAATCATAAAACATTAAAAGTAATTAAAAACATTAATAATCTGTGCACTAAATTATTCTAGCAATTTCTTAATTTTGTAGAATATTTTATACTACTTATATACTTTTTAAGTAAGCTGTAATCTCAACAGATAATTCTTGGAGTTCTAGTGTGAAGCTTCGATTAGTGGAGTTCAACTGTGCCTGCGATGAAGCAATTTGTGTATTGAAGAAAATGGAAGATGCTCGAGAAGTATTGTGGATTAATTGAAATTAGATATTAACACTAGTGAATACCAGTTTAATGGTCTCAAGTTTAAGCGTTTGAGTGTGAGTCCGAAGGCCCTTGGTTCGAATCCTATATGCGGGATCGTGGGTGTCGCATAATAGGACAAAACGGTTATCCAGTGCTTCTAGGTCTTCAATAGTGGTTTAACAATGATGGGTTCATAAACTTCAAAAATGGATCATCCACAAGAAACTATCATACTAAAATCTATAAAGTTTTATAAATTCGGAATGTAATAAACAGATATTTCATTGAAAAAACATGAAAAATCTCATAAAAACAAATACAAGTTATAGCACCCCTCCTAAGATGAAGTTTTCCTACGGTTAATTTTGTCATACCCTTTAATTAACTTATACAATAGACAATGTTATTCGAACAGTAACAAATGGTGTATGTCTTCGTATTATCATTATTATTACATCTATATGATCATATATACTTGGTTACATGTGACAGCCTACACATATATTCCTTCCTTTATCTTAGCCGTTAGTCACTTAGAAATCTCTCAATCAATCTGTCGCTCCCCCATAAATATTATGTATGTTTTCGTGAATCTTATAGTTTTATTTGCTTATCCAATGGATATCCATCGCCGGTAGCAAGATCTCAACAAATATGGAGCTAACACGAAAATTAATCATAAAAACGTCGTGTGTGACCGGCCTCAAGTTATTGTCACTTGGGCACTGTGGTTATGCTATCAGATCACTAAGACCATCTCTAATCTAATTTCCTTTTCATATACTTCTAGAAGAATGTTTGCACGGTATGGGCGACCGGGAAGTGATAGCTGCCTTCATACCTTTAACAGCACTAAAGATCACTGACTGAATAATGACATAGTATTCTACAATCAACTTGACCTGGTCACAAAAACTGATCATTTGTTTTCAGCTTTAGAATAACTCATAAGTATATGGCTAAAAGTTTTGAGTCTTGACAAGTTCGCCACCTGTCTCGTTTATCTTTACTCACACAGTCAGATAAGATTAGAATGGAAAAATGTTGAAATCTTGAATGTAAGGAACATCAGAGAACATCAGAGAATTTTTAGAAGCATGATAGTCAGCTCAATCAACAATTAATAAACATGTAAGAAAATCGATCCAATTTATTAAACAGTCAGAATAATCATGACAGATTAAAACTTCTTCTGAAGCCCCTTTGAGGCTACTTCCGGTCCCATACCCGGATAAAAGAGAAGGGTTGGACATGGGGTTAACGACCTTATCTCGTAGAAAACTAACTCGCTAAAAAAACGCTAACCGGAAAATGACAGATTAAAGGTCAATAAGAACCAATAATGATTAAGGTCGATAAGACATTAGTCATATTTTAATGAAGTTGAATACTTTACTTCTACATGAAGTTTATGCTGATGATAATGTTCAGAATAATAATGAAAACTCTACGATCAAACTAACCAACTCAAAGTAAGAAACTTTACCAAAATGATCGATTCAAACTACCAAATCTTATCCACCATCTTAAAGTCAGATAAAATCACTGACAGTTAAATAAAACAATTTAGGGATAAAACTGGACAATTATTCACTTTCATTATTGAGTTACGACTGCTTTACTCTGACTCCGCCCGGGACCCCTCTAGGGCTCCTGCTAGTCTCAAATCCGGACAAAAAAGGGAGGTTTGGCGAGGGGTTAGCGACCTCACCCCGTAAAAAAACTAACTCACTAAAAACGCTAACCAGAAAAAATAATTTAGACCATTTAAAATGCTTTACTTCAGATGTTTTCGAGCTTTGCGAGTCACAGATGATCAGGACATCCAAATAAAAGTCACTCAAATAATGAACATTAAACTAAGAAGTTGTTTCATAAATTTTGTAAACCTTTAGCACATGAACTCTTGACACTAATTCTTAAGAATTTCTAGTTCCCCAGACCTTTGCTACACTTAAACCCTCGAAAAGAAAACTAAAGGTGGGAAATACGATACAAAGAAAACTTTCTGTGGTTAATTTAGGCACAGAAGTAAAGTAAATTTAAAATTTTGTGTGTGACCTTAATACCTTACAGGTACTAGAACCATTCACTCATAACTAACTGTTCAATCCAGATATAACAAATGATCTATCATTTCTCAAGAACATTCTAGGAACTTCCTTTCAAACTTTGAATAATGAAATAACTTCAACATTTCCCCAGATTTTAAATATTTTTCTGGCACACTCTAAAGAATTCTTTGTAGTCTGTGGGGTAGTACACCTGGTAAACTTTAATTTGTCCCTGCCCCAAATTCCCTGGTACGGCCGAGGGTTGGAAGAGTCAACTCTCTCTATCTCGAAATGCTCTCATATAGCCACTCAGTCAGGGAAGTCCTACTCACTGCCTCCTAAAGGTGGTGGGGGTGTTGTTTACGAAATTGAGAGGACGAAAAGCGAATTTTCAACGCTTTAACCGGGTTGGTGGATATAGAAGTCCCACCTAGGGCAGTTGGAAAACTCTGATTCCAAAGCAATGATGTATATAGGCTACAGGATCCATAAGGAACAAATGGCGTATGAATTAGTTATTGGTCAACGGCTAACATGGAACTGCATCTCCTAACGTTTCTCCACTGCCTTATGGATCAGAGCTTTAGGTTAAAGTTTCCAAGTGTGGCCCATCTAAGACAACCACCTGCTTCGGTCTGGACACCCAGGGATCATTACAGCCCACACACAAATCAACTGACTTGTGTGTCACATATTGATTCGATGTTTTTTTGTACCAATATTTATGTGTTCAACCAAATTATCTTTATATTCATTTTGAATTTCTTTGTAAACAACCTTTTATAATGAAATAAATTATTTCAACGTTTCATAGTTACGCAATTAACCTTGAATGAAGGTCATTTTGAGGCATAAAAATTAAAATTATGCTCTTTAGCTCATTCATCAAACTATTTTGTCAAATAATTTATTTAAACTTTAGTTCAATAAACAAATACAGTTTCTTTCTTTTAAGACGAATTGTACATTTTGATTAGAATTTAACCTTATTATACAATGAAAGATGAATAACATTCACACGCCAGACCGAAGACCCTGGGTTCAAATCCCACTAGTCGGATTGTAGATGTGCACATTCAAAGAGTCCCACAACATGATGAAACTGCCATCCAGTGCTTCTTAGTATTTTCTTTAATGGTGGTCGAACATCAATCAGTTCATAATCACAATTAAAAGAAAATTTGGGAAATCTTACCAGTAGAACTTTTGGCTCGTCTAGTTTTTCCATTATATCTACCAATTGGATCCCATTCACGATCACCAAAATTTCCTCTCCCAGAAATGGGATCACGTTGTGCTATATATATATGTACAAAATATACCATTATGTAAAGAAGTCGTTATTGGTAATAACGAAAAATAAACGAGTACAATCAGTATCCATTATGATTCACATTGAAAGCGATTCGAATATAGTATACATAAAAAATATTATAGCAACAAGTCATTGATACTCAGTAACACTTGTAGAATGAGGACAGTGCACAATAAGTCAGTGCAAAAAAAAAACAGTCATAGGGACACGATTGTTGATTACAACCCAGACTCTAACTTGTTGAACGTTATGAAAAGATCATTGTAAATCATACAGATCAGCTAGTTATGTGAATCATCAACAAGCTGATCATTTATAAACAATATTCTTTTCAAAAAGTAAATGATAACACAATAGTCCGAAAAAACTATGGTTTACCATTAAAATAAGCCAAGTGAAGTACCCTTTCATGGTTTACACGACAGATAGAACTTAGTTAGTCAACCATTGGTATTTAGCCGTAGTGTAGAATTTTTCAGTAACCTGAATCCGCGGTCACATCAGAGACTGAAAACATGACTATCAGATCTCATAATATGTCTAAGCTTTAAATTACTAAATTAACCACCAATGATTTGTATTGCTAACTTAAATCAACGAACAATATTGAACAGTCATCATCCAATTTCATTGGTGGATGACAACTTCACTCTTAGTGCAGTCGAAATTAATTAATCATGGCCCGTCACTAAATCTCCAATAAGTACCTCTGTAAAGAGTTGTCCAGTACATAATCATTCTCAGTAGTTGTCCAATGTCATTCCGTGATATAAGTTATCAAACTGATCAACCTACTAAAATGATCTCGTTTTACCGGACGGATGTTTCACATAATGTTGACGAATCTATTACTAAGGTACTTGTGGAATAATTTCAAAATATCTAATTACATTTAAAGCAAACACCAGGAAAATAATGAAAATTACCCAACGAAGCCATACGGCTAAGGAACTTTAATACAAATAAATTACTTCAACTAATTTGGGGAACAAAGTGAAAATGATTTCACAGCATTATTTACAGTCTCCAACATTCTAAACACCTAAAGATTCTTTTTTAACGTTTACATCCATTTGAGACAGTTCTTTATCATCGGTGTAGGACCTCGTGGGAATGTGCCGTAGTGTGAGTCATCAACTTTCAAATTAACACAACCAGAGAGAAAAGTGACAGGATGAGAAACAGAAAAAGAGATGAATTTCAAGTACACTGGGAAATGAAACATGCACAGTTCAATTTACAATAAGGAGAAAATGAGATGAAGAGTTATCAAGCACACTTAGCATAAAATTTAAAAGACTACAGAGAATGTTAGCAACTGTACTAATGTGATTTTCTGTCCCGACCGTTACTGCTACCTTGACGTGGTGGTCGGGTTTGATGATTTTAATGAACTAATTGAGCTATGCTAGCTGGAACAATCATTCCTCAAGGTCCAATCATGTCAGACATGTCTGTTGAAGAGCGGTAAGAATAAAAGCAGCGAATCCAAGGTGCGAAGGTGAAGTCGTACTGCTGACTGTACAGATGTGTGACGGCAGTAAGGTGTTTTCTTCAGACAACCAGCATAAAAGTGATGCTGCCTTCTCACAAGGAAGATGGAGTTAGAAAAGGTCTACCCTGAAAATGCGCACCTCACAGCTGAGAGCAATATTTAAGGAATATCAACATGACGACTACATATATCAATGAACGAATTTCAATCCCTATCAGGAATTAGAATTTAATTTCAACAGTTGAGTCATTGATTCGGATCATACGTGCCTAAAAATCATTATTCACAAGTTTTCTTATCTACGAAGGTTGAAACTAGTGAATAATGAGGAAGTTTGTCCGTGCTTCTAGACAATTCAGAAACTTTTAGGGGGTAAAACCTATACGGAGAAAACAAAAAATCTATCTCAATATGATACATTCTAGAAATCAACAGCGGAATAACTGTCACTAATCAAATTTTCTAGACTAAGACACTACTGATAATATAAGTAGAGATGAATAGTGGCTAGCAGTGGAATCCGGAGTGCGCGTTTCGTCCTATTTGAGACTCATCAGCTGGATGTACCTGAACCTCAGAGTTGACGTTCACTCCGGGACTCGAACCCAATACCGTCCGCTTCAAATGCCACCGCATTATCCACTTAGCTACTGAGTCCTGATAGCCACTTGCAATACGCACAGTATGCACATAATACCAATAAGAGACTGATCAATTGCAGTCCTAATCATCAATGTGAAGATTCATGTAAAAGTAATACCAAGTGAATTTACTACTGATAATAGTTTCAACGGTCTATTAAAGATGATCTACTTGTTTACTCATCTTATTGTTTTAACTTTATTCGTTGAAAATATGATGGAAGCAATTTCTTTGATTATGTATACCCATTCTTAACAATGCACTATGTAGTCGAATATGTTCAGAAGACTACCACTTATATAAATTGACATTTATATGATACTGATTCTTAACACGGAGTTACTGAAATAATAAAATTTCCAGTTCACTTGTCAATATATTCTACATCTTAGTAGTGAATATTCCATTCATTAAAGATTAGTCAATGTAAATAGTGTTAAAGTTTATAGATGCTTCAATCATTCGTAAAGGTTAAAAGTATAAACTGAAAAGACAGAAGAAAATAAACAGTAAGTAACTGGCTTCAAGATGTGTTTCCTGAAGTTCTTGTGAGTAGACGTAACCAATGGAGTAAAACCATGTCTGTTGTCAGGCAGTGACTGACTAAAGACAATGATGAATAGTCGTACAATATGGTGAATTGGCTGAAGGTAGACATTAACACTGTTGAATATCGGCTCAGTGGTCTAGAGATTAGGCGTTCGTACATGAGACCGAAAGTCCTAGGTCCGAAGCCCGCGTACACGATCGTGGATGCTCACTGTTCACGAGTCCCATACTAGGACGAAATAGTCAACCACTACTTCTAGATTATTCAAGGAGGTCTAACTTAAATCAATCATTAAGAATTACTACAATTTCCATAAACTCTTATTCAGACAGTTAGTTTCCTATTTCGCCTAAAGCTTTTTTATCTTCTATATTATTCAATTTGTCTGGGAAAAAGAAATGAAATTAGTTTCAATGAATCAATAATGAATAACCATGACAATTGGAATGAGAAAACCGAATAACTGAATCAAATATTTGAAACGGATTGGTTGGTTACATGGATGTTTTCTTTCTCTTTTTTTCTTTCTTTCTTTCTCTCTGTTTTTTTTCTTCTTTGAAAAACAAACAAGCAGTTTTATGCTCGTTTGTCAATGATGTTGATGAATCATTGTTTCATAGATAATAAACAACTCAAAGACTCAATGAGTCATTCTAATCAAATCTAATGTATAGTCTAATTATCAGAAGGGGTTTTATGGAGATTGTAGTAATTTCAATAGTTGAAAACATGAGTCAATTGAAGTTAGATCACTATGGACAACTTGAAGCACTGGACGGCCGTTTCATCCTAGTATAGGACTCCGCAGTAGTGCTCATTCAAGATCCCATCTCTCGCACTGCAAGATTCAATCACAGGACCTATCAGTCTCGCGCGCGAGCGCTTAACCATTAGACCACTGAGCCGACATCCAATGATGTTAATGTCAAAGTTTAACTAATCGATGAAATTGCGCCGACGTACACCATTGTCTTCAATGAGCTAATATCTCACAACAGACCTGCTTGAACTCCACTGGTCACTGCTTCTCACTAGAACTCCAGGAAATACATCTTCAAGTTAGTCACTAGTGAGCAAATGACTATTATCAGAAGGGGTATTGTGGAGATTTTATTAATTTCAATAGTTCAAATCATGAGTGAATTGAAATTAGACGACCATGGGAAACTTGGAAGCATTGGACGGCCGTTACGTCCTAGTATAGGACTCCTCAGAAGTGCTCATCCACCAGGTCTGTTGTGAGATATCAGCTCACTGAAGAAAATGGTGTACGGTAGCGTAATTTTGTGTATCGTCTAACTGACAATGTAGATTTAAGGTAAAAGATTGAGGAAAAGTTTTTGATGAAATTTTATTGTCTCAAACTTCAGATTCAAGTTTGTTATGATGATGTTGTTCAGAAGAAAGATGAAAGTTCCACGACTATTCCATTCAACTCAGAGAACAAAACTTCATTTAAATCATCCACCTGAGTTACAAGTCTTTTCCATCAACTGAGGAAAAGTGTAATATGAATGTGTAAAAGTAACTAGATTTGGTAAACGCTTGGATTATGGTTAGTATCTTTTTATTTTTATTTATTGGTTTACATGTATATCTATGGTATCCTTTCGGTATTCGAATAGATTGAAAAAGATATCAATTAGAGTATTTATTTTCTTTATATTTATTTGAACACATAAATATTGGTACAAAGGGACATCCAATACATATGCACCACACAAATCAGTTATTTGTGTGTGGGCTGAGATACTGTTCGGGTACCCAAACTGAAGTAGGTGGTTTACTTAGGGGGCCACACAAGGACCCTTCAAACTAAGGGTTTGATCCACAAGGCAGTCGGGCAACATCAGGAGATGCAGTCTCACGGTAGTCGGTGACCAACGATTGGTTCACACGCTATTTCCTCCTTCAAGATCCTAGAACTCATATACGCCATTAGGTTGGAATCATGGTTTTTCAACACCCTCAGGTGGATCCTCCATATGCATCAACCCGGTTAAAGCACCGGACATTCGATTTTCCTTCTCTCAATTTCGCAAACAACAATGCCACGAGAAGGCACTGATCACTCTCTACTGGATCGATAGTTTGTCTAATAAGTTGTAATAAGGTAATATACTCAGTTGGTTAATTTTCATATGAATTTTCTGTCATTATCGTAATAGAAATATCTTTTTCAAACATAATGGATAAAAGTAAGTCCTAAAAGATGTGCCACACGAATTTTCAATTCCAGTGTACATTTCTCTGACAGTGGGCGTTCACAACTTCACACAGTGATGAACAACAGAAACTTTCAAATCCAATCAGAGAACCAAATATTTTCGTATCATGTCGTCTTTTCCTAATCCTTTCTAATACCGATTTTTACTATTATTATTCATACTACTACTCTGGAGTTTTCAGTAACGATTTTATCTGACTGAGTAAATGTAATGTTGTTACTTAGATACGAAGATATTCCAAACTCTATGCTGTCCATAACTGATTAACTATCTCTTGTATCATTCAATCAGTTCAATAGTCTGATCCGTTATTTTATTTCACTATCAACAGTTTACATTCAAACTATAACATTAGTCTACAAATGATCATCATTCATTTCAATCTTGAAATATAATGAACATTTCGTTAATCTCCAACAACAACAAAATTATTCTCTTTGTATATTGATCAAAATGAATTGACTATTAATTTCAGTAGCCCAGTATAATCTCATTGAAATGGTAACCAATTAAATTGAATTATTGATCTTAATGGTATTGATTTCAATTTAGATGGGTATTTTTGTTTGTTTTATTCGGTATGTAGAAAATTTACAAACAATTCGTAAATGTTTTGTTTCTTGGTTTCAATCACAGTAACCATCAGGTATGAAACGTTTTTCTATAGTTTCATTGTGTTTTTTCCCCTCTTAATACTGAATGAATTGTTGACAAAGCAAGGAACGTGTTGTACCATTGTAAAATTATGTTAGTAACAATCAGTTGTAATTGTATTTTGATTAGAATTTCGGATAGTGATTATTTATTATTTATTTAAACATTGATACAAGAAGGTACCAAACATATATAGGCGCCATACAAATCATTCGATTTGTGTGAGGGCTGGGATACTACTCGAGCACCCAAACCGAACCACGTGGTTTTCTTAGGGATACACTCCACAACCATATGACTTAAAGGTTTAATCCACAAGTCAATGAGACAAAAACAGAAGATACACTCCCATGGTAGTTGGTCAACGAGAATAGGTTCTTACGCCATTTCTTCTCTCTGGATCCTGGAGATCATGTGCACAATTAGTTTGCAATCAGGTTTCCCTAACTCCCCAAAGTGGTCCTCCATATCCATTAACCCAATTGAAGCTCTGATCATTCGCTTTTCATCCTCTTAATCCAGTAAACAACACTCTCAACACGAGAATGCAGTGAGTAGGATTTCCCTAGTAGTGGCTGTATACGCGCGGCCATGTGATAACATTTCCAAAGACGAGAGAGAGCGGACTCTCTTCACTCTCAACTGCATCAGGACATTTGAGGGAGAAATGTGGCAACGGACCGTTGCAGTGTGGAAGTGCTGGGTTGACTGAAAATTTGTCCTGTCACTAGGAGACTTAATATTTTGTGACGCATCTCTGATTCAAGTGAAAATCACTTCGGATGCAGACACTCCACTGATGAGTTCTAAATAGGATGAAAAGTGCGTAGTGGATTCCACTGCTAGCCATTATCCATCTCTCCTTATGATTCTTGTGATATTTATTCAGTATATCATTGCTTTAATTTTAAATTGATTGTATTGCTTGTGTAATATTTATTCAATATTATAACCGTTTGTATTGATTTATTGTGACATTTACTCGGCGTAATATTTGGTTGTTTTTGTAAGATTCTGGAGTCTATGTGCACCAATGGTTGGAGATCATCGTTTTCCAACTACCCTAGATGGATCCTCGAAATCCACTGAACCGGATAGAGCAGCGGACGTTTCTCGTTCGTCGTCTCAATTTCATAAACAACTCCCCCCCGCGACGAGAAGGCAGTGTATAGGACTTTCCCGACAATGGCTGAGTACGCGTGGAGCAAAACCGAAAAAAGTGTGCGATTTTTATTTTTCTATTACTAGTAAATTATGTCAGCTAGAGTACCGAGGAAAGTTGTTTTACGCTAACGCACTTCATTAATGTTTTGCCTCCCTTAGCTATTTTCTAAAATAAAATGAAAGATGGGATGATAGTCTGAAACATTTAGGTTTTATGATGAAATTTTATTATCGCTGTTACTGAATCAGGAATCAAAATTTGACTATGCTATGAGTTTGTTATATAATTATAGATACACTAAAACAACTCAATTATGCAAAGGAAGATGACACTATACATACATATGTGAAATGAGTCAGACAGTAAACAGTGATTGATGAGATAAATGATTCACCTATAATAGGTCAAGTACACTTTCATTCCTAATACTATGTGGGTTTAAGACACACAATGACGTGTTTTCCCCGGTTTGTTATTTTGTTTTTCATTCTAGAAAAGTCAGTTATCGTCTGTGGATTCATTTATCCCAGTTTAACAATTAACGTGAGTTATATTTCAAGTTAATCTACAAATTTCACTAATTCCCTACAAAACTATTTAGCCTAGAAATGATCCTCTGTTTATGAATGGCTAGTTTCGAAATGGATTATCCATAGTCGATAGCCAAAGTGTGTTGGAGTCAAAGAAACCAGATATGATCATATTTACTGATGGCAAAATGAAGCGAATTCGCTCTATCAATGTTTCAGTATGAGAAATACATAGCTAATGACTTATGTACATAGTCTGCTTTAAAGATTGTTTATCATTCTAAAATGGTGAAAACCAAATGATTTTCTTTGCTTCTGTCGATAATAAAAGATTAATGAACAGATAGAACGATGACTGAACATTAAGTCTTTAATGATACTTGAGAGAAATTTTCAACAAACTTTATCCAATGTTTACAGTTGTTTAACTCACTGAAAAAGTGCTCTTTTTAAAGGGAGCAAATATTTCAGTGATAAACGTCACCATAGAAAAGACGTTACAATGCTAGAACAATGGAGAAGTTGGACTCCTCAAAATGTCCGATGACAGTTGAAACAAGATAGAACAAATGTATTGTAACAAATGAGAAGTAATGTGCAAGGAAACAACGACTTATGTTAGTGGAAGTTTATGCAGTATAACTATTATGACTTTAGTACACATATTTATTGAACAGAGCAGTGTATTCTAGGATATAAGCATATTGTACAAAATCAAGTAAAGACATGTTTTTCTTTAAATCCGAAACCAGACTAAAATCTTTTCGAAAATATAGATGACAGATATTCCATTGGATAATAATTTAAGATAAAGCCACCATGTATTTAGGAAGGGGAAAAATTTAAGTTGTCCCGGAAAAACTCAAGTAACTATTTACTATTGTATTCACATGGTATTGTTTGGTTGTCTTTTCCCATTGTTATTTAGGACTATAATTGATCACTCTCTTGTTGACATATGTGCATCTTGTGCAGACTGCCTCGATACTGCTTTAAGTCACAAGCTTTATGAGCAACTATGGAGAGTGGCTAGCAGTGGAATCCAGTTTGACGCGCATTTCGTCCTACTTTTAACTCGTCATCTGGATGTACCTGCATCACAGAGTTGATGTTCACTCCGGGAGTCGAACTGGCACCGTTCGCTACCATCGCGTTATCGACTTATCGACTGATTCCTGATAGTCACTAGCTTGTGAAATAGGGTGAAGATTAAATTCACTTATCATTGTTTGCTTGTATCTTCCCATTGTTATTGGTTTAAGACAGTAAATGAACAGTTTCTTGTTGACATTCTTGTGCATTCTATGAGGATTTCTTTCAGTTACAAGCTTTATAAGCATAGTTAGATGGAGTCTCGGAGTGAACATCAATTCTTGGATGCAGTACTTTAAGCTGATGTGTCCCAAATAGGACGAAACGCACATCCTGAATCGCACTGTTAGCCACTATCCATCTTTGCTTACTTACAGTTTTATTTATTCTTTGTACATTACACTATTTTTCAAGTGTTACACTTTACAGATTCATTAACTATTTGACATAATTTTTGTGACATTCAATTGGGTAGTGTTTAGTGCTCCTTTCTTCATAAGAACAGTAATGGTAATTATATGCATTTTGATAGGAATTACTATTAATTATTATGACTGTTAACATTTTTTCCCTTTCAGTAAATATAAACAAGACTTACGTTCTCGAGGAGTTCCACTACGTGAACCATTAGTTGTACGTAATCTATCAACTTCATCACCAAGATCGCCAGTTAAAGCGATTGGATTACGTGTTGGTTCTACAATAAATAGTGAACATAAATGATCATGAAAGGATATAAAAACGATTTTCTCAACAGTGATTAATTGTTAGATCTAATTTTTGTTCAGTGAATAACTCACTATGAAGCTAAATCTTATACTAACGATGCTAGGTTTGAAGCGGTTACGAGTTCACTTAGACCGCGAACGGAACAAAGACTTATGACCAAAGACCAATAAACTAGCTATACTATTGCGTCCCAGCCCCGCTAACTAGAGAGAGAAGTCGAAGTCCGAACGAGGAAGTATATTCTGCAAAAAGCCAGAAGCACGAGCGATAACAAGAGACAAAAATCAAAACGTATATGTACAGCACAAAACCGTCCTTGTGAAGCATACTAAAAGACACAACGGACCAATAGCGTTTAAGATTCTCCCAAATGGGAAATACGACATGAAGGTGAAATGAGCGCTTTTGGCGCGAAAACAAAGAAATTCAAATTTTCTACATAAAATTACAAAATTAGGTCCATTTCCAAGTGAGTTCTGGAAACATATATATATATATATATATATATATATATATATATATATATATATATATATTGTCACCGTTGAAAGCTGACTCAGCGAACTAGTGGTTAAGCGCTCGCACGCCGGGGTGATAGATCCTAGGTTCGAATCTCGCGAGGCGGGATCGTGGATGCGCACTGCTGAGGAGTCCAATGAAATATATATATGAAAATACAATACACTAGACATTCATGACGAGATCCTATGAAAAGAATTTAACTACACTATTGATTATTTCAGTGTGGAATCAACACAGTAAATCAACTGGCGAGACTATAATTTATGAACGAACCAAGAAGTTATAAGATAAGAGGTCTCGAATTTTGGCACGAAATTCACTCATCCATTTGGCTAAATAGAGTTTCGGCATTATAGCTGATGTCAGTTCGTGATGAAAACCTTAAATCTAATTCCTAACCTTAAACATCAACTGTAAATCATAATTCTAATTCTCCATACTGATTTATAATCCTCATTTAGTTCTAGTTATTAGGTGGATACTCTCAAAGTCACCCCAGTGTTGCTTAAAGGTCGTCATAAATTATAGTCTTACCAATCAACTCAATAAGTGAAAGGATTAATAATGTTGGAATATAAGAAACAAGATTGACTGTAAAGAAAAGTCGAACTTAACCAATTTAGTTCAGAAGGAATAAATGAAATCAACTGAAATAATTCCAATGTTTAACTCATAAAAATGTTTCAAGTCAATTCAGGACAATGTTTAAAGAGTAGTCAAGTATAATTTTCACATAAAAGTAGCAAAAGGTCAGTTGATAACAGGTAGAAATGACCTCAAGTTCAAGTGCATTTAATTGGGGTCTGTGAGTAAATTTTCAAAGGAATGTGTGGTATATATATAAATCAGTATGTGTTAATTTCATTCAGTAGCCCAATACACTTTCTCCTCCACTCTTATGTTCTTTCTTAAATAGTAATTTGGTGCATTAGCGCGTAGCATACCGTATATCAGTATCAGATTTCGGACCTTGCTCTGATATTACACTAGGCAATTAGTTATGCTATGGTTTATTGATTGATGTATTAACACTACTATTCAATGAAAACAACATTCTTATTGTTTCCTATTACTGTCTGAATCACTGTACACTATAAAAATGTTCAAACGGACAAAATATATTAAAGGTATATACATACAAACATATGTACATGCATAATTATAAATAATTTGACATTTCAGTTTATTCTATTCATTTTGATCAACAACAACAACAACAACAAACGTTTCACTTGCCAAATTAGTTTTTAGTTTTTGTATTCATCTCTCGTATTTATACTCTACCATTCAAGGAACAATATTAAATGATACTAAAGAATCTTATAAATTGAATTTATGACTAATAAGTACAGGTAAGGATGATAGGATTATGAAAAGTCACTTGATTTGTGTGTAGGCTGTGATACTGACCGGGTGCCCAAATCAAAGAACGTGGTTTCCTTACGGGATTACAACCAAAGCCTTTAACCTAAAAGTCTGATCAACAAGGTAGTGGAACAACGTAAGGAGATTCAGTCCCATAGTTTCCGATGACCAATAGCATGTTCAATCGCCATTCGTTCTCTCAGGATTCTGGAGCCCATGTACACCATTGGTTTGGAAACATGGTTTTCCATCTCCATTACGTTGACCCTCCGTGTACACCAACCCGGTTAAAGTTCCGGACATTCGTTTTTCGTCCTGTCAACTTCGTAAACAACACCGCCACCGCTGTGAGGGGGCAGTGAGTAGGACTTCCCTGACAGTGACTGTATAAGCGTGGCTATGTGAGAGCATTTCTGGAGGGAAAACGGATACTCCCCACCCTCAGCCGTTTCAAAACAGTTATAAGGGGAGATCCGAATGCACGTTTCGTTCTATTTCGGACTAGTCATCTGTATCTTACAGTTTGTCTTCACTATATGACTCAAACCCAGTGCCGTTCGCTTCAAAAGAAATCGCGTTATATACTTAGCTACTTAGCCCATATAGCCACTAGCTTGTGCAACGTGGTGAATTTTGACGCAAGTACATTCGGCTGACGAGTCTCAAATGGGACGAAACTCATGTCTTGGATTCAACTACTAACCACCATCGTCTCCACTTATAATGTTTGTAACATAAGGTGATATCGAGGCAATCCGAATAAGGTGAACATATGTCAGTAAGACTGATCAATTTCAAACGAGATTCAAACAACCAATACAAAATGAATGAAATTATGAATTGATTATTGAACCATAATACAGTAATCAAAATTTATTTAGACATTCAAGAGAAACGGGATCAGTATTGTTTAGAGTTGTAAGTGTACATTCCCGCCAAGAGTCATAGATTGGCTTCATTGTTCACTGATTAACAGTCTGATAACAGAGCTTGAATTTTATAATCAAGCTGTTTGCTTGCTAAAACATAAATTTAGAAAGGATTCCTGAAATGTTTGTGAGAAACAATGACTGGTGATGGTTTCTACTTTCTTGATCAAAGCGGAATAAATAATACTTACACAGAATACGTTAAATTGTTTGATTCTAGATATGCGAACATTTCGATACCGAATTAATGTTCTTAGAATAATGCTCTCTCTTAACAAGACATAAAAGAGATAGGTTCAACTAGTAGAAGGATTGTAGATCGGAACTATTGAAAAGTCCTATATTATGATACAATAACTATCCACTGATTACAGGGTTCCTTCAACTGATTTTATTCTATATAACAAAGAGTGTCTAAGGAAAAAAAATTGTTCAGTGTTTTCCTGATTGTTTTCTCTATCAACAAAGAACATTGATCGATTTTGTAATATAAACAAAATACAGGTCAAAAATAGTTTAATAACTTACGTTTACTCTTCTTAGTTGTATGTCCATTATTCTTACATACTGTTGCATTATCTACATCCCATGCAATTAATGTTGTGTTGAAAGCTATTTGTTAAGCAAAGAGAATTTTAAAAAGTACACTGTAATTATATGAATCAATGAGGATACATTTTTCACATATAATAAAATGTACATTAGATTATCGTATTGTTCTACGTCAGTAGATGAGATCTGAACTGAAGTCATTAACAGACACTATATACAGTTGATAAGAGTGAGTTAAAACAAGAAATCAAGAAACAGAACTGAAAGTGGATAGGTCACACAACTGCGTCACAAGGCAAGCCTTCACTTGGAACCCTTAAAGCCATAAGAAAGAGGAAGACCAAAAAAACACATTACGCCGAGAAATAGTGACAGATATGAGAAGAATGAATAACAATTGGATAGAACTAGAAAGGAAGACCCAGAATAGAGTGGGTTGGAGAATGATGGTCGGCGGCTTACGCTCCATTGAGAGTAACATACGTCAGTAACTAAGTAAGTAAAACAACAAATTTATTATAAAATATCCTATGAAGTGAAACCTCATGAGTTAGTAATAAATACTGATGTTGTCAATCTTTTAATTTGTTTCTAAACACTAAGAATAAATCATAAGTCCTTTGTTAATCCTTGTATGTATAAGAATGGCTTACTTATATAAATTAATATGACTGTTCATTGTAAATTGGAATAGAATAGGTATCTTACATAAGTCCAAGGCTAAATTCATCTCAGGGTTGATGCAAAATCAGATCATGTTAACTGATTTTCTATGAAAAAGGTGTTATGCTGTCAAAACATCTTGTAATTCAAATACAAACTAAGGATAAGCTTAAAAGGTACTTTTACTCGATGGCATTTGAGTTCAAGTTCCGAAGTGAACATCAACTCTAGGATGCAGGTATATCTAGCTGACCAATACCTAATTAGACGAAATACGTGTTCTGAATTCCATTGCTAGCCACATTCCATCGATTTGGAAATATTATTCGTTATTAAGTTAATCTAACTGAGAAATATGAATTCGTATCAGTTATTCGAAATGTCATTTCAATACAAAAATATCTGTATGGTTATGCACAGTACTGTCTATACCATAAATCTGGTATGAATGTACCTCAGCTCAGTCAGTCAGTCAGTAACAACGTAGAACTTCGTAAGTACCTACATCAGTTCGAGTTGCCACACATGTATCTTAGCTAGAGTTATTATACCACCTCAGAGCAGTAATGGATGTAAATACTATAATGAACACTTATATAGTCGAAATAATGATGATATGAATGACAATAAAACAGATCAAACATAGAACACCTGATTGAGATCATGAACCGACTGATGTTAGACAACCGTTGTAAACCTAGAAGCACTGGACGGCCGTTTCGTCCTATTGTGGGACTCCTCAGAAGTGCGAATGCCTAACCTACTGGACCACTGATCCGGCATCCGATGGTGTTAGTGTCTAGTATCAACCAATCCACGAAATCGCGGGACCATCTTCCATTGTACTGAGGTAGATACATGTCTCTACCCGACACAGATTAGCTCCATTGGTCACGGCTTCTCACTAGAACTTCGAGAATTCCCTAACGAAGCTGGTCACTAGTAAGCAGATGCTGAATACCAGTTCAGGGGTTGTGGAGATTATTAAGTTTTTGGTTGAGATCACTGCTGAGGAGTCCCACGATAGGACGAAACGGACATCTAGTACTTCCAGGTTTTCAATGATGGTCTAACATCAATTGGTTCATGATCTCAATCAATAATTTAGTAATCTCCACAACCCTTATGCTGATAGAACATTTGGTTAAAAAGGATGAAACGAAATAACTGTCTGAAAGTATAGAACAATTTAGAAATTCAGAGTTGAGTATAAACACAAACAATGAGTTGATCTATTCTAATGCATATGATATTGATCTTTGTCACATTGAACTTTCAGTAATCGATCTAGAAAATTACTCCAATTAGGTTGTTAATATATGTCCTGATAATCAGTAAGTTCATGATGTAATACTATGATTATATCTGATGTCTTATTGTGGTATGAGCCACTTATATCGACATAAGTAATATATAACGATAGTCAGGAACACAATGTCTAGCAGTAGGAGATCAAAAAGATCAAACTACACAGTAATTGGACTCATGTCACACTCTTCCTAATGAATTTAGTAAACAAAATCTCAGTTTGTAATAGATGAGAGCAATGTTTTAAAGAAACATCTTTGAATAATTAATAATCACCTATGAATTTCAATAACTATTAAACGCCATGTTATATTCCAAGTTATCTAATTAGCAAGTTTTGTAAGTATATGAGAGAAACTTATGATATAACTGAATCATTGTTTCATCAATCTCAACTCTGTAGACAAACACTTTGTAAATGTGAATTTTTAGTTGAAAATCACCAACTTTAGCCATCCATGAAATATAAATAAATTACCATATAATTTCAACAGTTGAGATCATGAGACAATTGAAGCTAGACAACCATGGAAAACTTGGAAGCACTGGACAGCCGTTTCGTCCTATTGCGGGACTATTCGGTCCCCGCCCCGCGGGACTCGAACCCAGGACCTGTCAGTCTTGCGCGCGAATACTTAACTTATAGGTCACTGAACCTGCATCCAATGGTGTTAATTCCTAACTTCAACTAATCCACGAAATTGAGCGACAGATCTACCATTGCCATCAGTGGTTTACAACCTTACAACAGACCCATTTGAACTCCACTGGTCACTGCTTCTCACTAGAACTCCAGGATATATCTCTTGATGTCAGTCACTATTGAGCATATTATTATTATTATTAATGGCTTTATTCAATATTATATTTTGGTACAATATAGAATTCTCAGCACAGGGTATTTCAACAAGTTACTTATGCAAACAAAAATAGTAACAAAGACAAAAAATAAAGTTTAAAAAAAAAGTCTGAAAAACAGTACAACATTTGAAATTAAAGTCATGTTAAGAATGCAGGTTATTGGCTAGGTTAACTCTAACAACCTGTTCGTCACAGAGTATATTTGCTAGATAAGGTATTATAGAACATTTGTACTTTTGCTTGCGTGCATGGATTTTAATGTAATTACGTCTCGTTCTACCAGAAGATATACAAGGAGAAAGATAAGAGTGAAGGGGATGGCTAGTATCTGATAAAATGACACCTGCCAGGAGTTTGCATGATTTTAAATGTCTATCCACAACCATATTAATTATGACCTCGAAAGATTCACCACACACCTTGCTAACTGCCTTCAGCACTCTTCGCAATACAGCAAAGTCTTTTCTCAAAAGCCCGGGAAAGAATAATGGAGAACAGTAAAGAATAATAGGTAGTATGCAAGAATTGACAAATTGTAAGAGTAAATGACGAGTAATTCCAAGAGCATGCAATCTCTTTATGTAGTAGGTCAGACGGAAAACCTTCTTCGATAACGATAAAACGTGGGAAGACCAAGACAGATCAGAGGAAAAGGTGACACCAAGATAATTGACCTTCGACACTGAGTTTATCAAAGAGTCTCCGATGGTACAAGCACTATGGGATCTCAAAATAGTGTTTATATTCCGTTTATGTCTCATGCTAAAGTTAACAGCTTGACATTTAGACGGATTAAGTATGAGACCATTACCAACAGACCAACAATCAATACGAGACAAAAACTCATTCATTTCTATGGGATGTAAAGAGGAAGATATAGGCATACATACAGTGAGGTCATCCGCATACTTCACAAAAGTGTTTTCTGTGGAAGATGGCAGATCATGCAGAAAAAAAGAGAATAGAAGAGGTGAAAGAACAGCTCCTTGTGGTACACCTTCATGAGACAGTAGAGACTCTGAACTCTTTCCTCCAAACACAGTGTATTGTTCCCTTCCAGAGAGGTAGGAACATAGCCAGTTGGTTATCCAGCTGTCAGTGTTGACGCTGATTAACTTGTTAAGTAATCGTTGTCTTGGTATAGAGTCAAAAGCTGAAGTATAGTCCAGAAAAGCGCATCGAACATACTTCTTACCCTTTTCTAAGTTGAACACTATGTTGTGATGCAGAACTGCAACAGCATCTAAAGTGCTTCTTTTGCGCCTGTATGCAAACTGGTATGGGTCAGTATGCCCTTTTATCGCAGGCTGAAGTGGAAGTATTAGTATCAGAATTTATCGATATAAAGATTTGTGGAGATTGGGTTTGAATCCTTCATGTGAGATCGTCAATGCACTTTGTTGACGAACCTCATACTAACGCGAAAAACCTGCCCAGTGATTCTAGTTTTTCAAAAGTAGTCTAACTTAGATCAACTAATATAATTCTATCCACTTTAAAACTTAGAATTTAATGATTCACCTTATTTTAACTAACAGAAGAAGTGAGGACATGTTCCCACTGATATTTATATCAATATGTCATTATTTATGAATCTATACTTATTTAACTCCTAGACAAACATAATTGTTTATATTCATCAAATGTATGTAGATTGTTTCTTTTAAAAAACAGTTTTTTTTAATTTATCGATTATTCTATGGTGTGTGCTACTGATGTCGATAGATATAAGTATTATATGTAACACAAATCAAAAGTGAAATGCTCGTCGTCAGCAGAAGATTAAGAAGATAGAAGAAAAGCAAACCAGAACAGAGAATGATTTCTATGGAAACGAAGGGACAGTGAAGTCTGAGACAATTGATTAACATATTGTAAATGAAGTACTTACTGTATGGATCTCAGATTTTACCAAGACATTCTGTAATTTTATATTGAAATACATTCGAATTTACCCACTTATGTTCTTGTTCAACTACAAACCGTTAGATTGATTAGAAAAAACTGGACAGTTTACAACAATTTCAAAGGAGGTAAACCTAATAGCTTTTGATATTATCCATGTTTAGGGAATAAATAATAAACAATTTTAATAGTTGATATTATGAGTCAATTGAAGTTAGACAACCATGAAAAACCTGAAAGCACTGGACAGCCGTTTTGATCCTACTGTGGGACTCCTCAGCAGTGTGCATCCATAATCCGGTTCACGAGATTCGAACTCGTCCAGTGCTTCCACATTTTTCATGGCGGTTTAACTTCAATTGACTCATGAATTCAACTATTAATATTACTATAATCTCCACAAAAACCCCTTCTGATAATAAACAATAAACAGTTATGTTATTATTATTGTTGTTGTTGTTTTCTTTATTCAATACAGCTGAAGCTACTTTAAATTGTAAATAGAAAAACAAACATTTCACTTTTCCCGCCAAAAAATTGTTTATTTTATTTGTGTATTTTCTTGTTGTTGTTTGTTTGTTTTTCTTTTTTTTTGGTATTGCCATTCTATATTCAGTATAGTAACTAATGTCTAATGTCAATCAAATTGAAGTTAACTTAGTGATATATATATATATATATATATAGAATTATATTAATTCATGTAATAATAATATGATATAGTAATCACTAAACAATCTAATGACCTATTCAGTAGTACTTGTATTATTGTATAGTGGAATTCATAAGTTAATTAAAGCTAGACCATCATGAAAACCCTGGGAGAAGCACTGGATAAGCGTTTCGTCCTAGTGTGGGACTCCTCAGCAATGTACATCCACGATCCCGCACGTAGGATCATCCAAACCAAGGACCTTTGGACTCATGAACAAACGCTTAATCTCTAGACCACTGGGCCGGTATCTGACAGTGTAAATGTCTAACTTCAACCAATCTACAAAATTGCACCACCGTCCACCATTGTCTTCAATGAGTTATTATCTCACAACAGATCTGGTGAACTCCCGAGAGCGCGATTGCGAATGAGCATTACTGAAGTGTCTTATACTAGGACAAAACGGCAGTCCAGTGCTTTTAGGTTTTTATGGTGGTCTAACTTCAATTGATCCATCAGATTTTAAGATAGTAGATCTTGGTTTTTGGCGCGAAATCATTTACTCATCTATTTAAATAGAGTTTTAGCATGTTTAGATTATATCATTTCGTGATCCCACGAGTGGGGTTGTGGATGCACATTGTTGAGAAGTTCTACAATATGACGAAATGCCCTTCCATTTCTACCAGGTTTTCCATGGTGATCTAACTTCAGTTGACTCATGATCTTAACTATTGACATTAAATCTAATTTATAAACCTAACTAGCAAACGTAAATCATAATTCGAATTCCTCACACTAATATATAACCCTCATTTAATCATAGTAACTAGGTGGATACTCTTGAAGCCAGTTTAACATCTTACAGGTCTTAAACTTATGTACTGAAACTGAATGATCACTAATAACTATTGAAGAAAAAGTTTTTGTTTGTAAATTTGTTTAAATAATTGGAGGTTATAAAACGTATATTGAATGTTATTTCTTGAGAATTCTTTGTTGTATCCAAGGAAGTGAATATGAGAACGGTGAAGAACAAGCAAAAAGATTGACAAGTTATTAACCAATAGAAACCTTTCAAAATAACCTAGAATATTACATAATAGATTAGTCATTTAAGAATAAATATATAATATCTAGCATCAAATGATTCGTGATCTCAACTATCAATTTACTATAATATCCACAAAACCCCTAACTGATTATAATTATCGTATGCTCACTAGTGACAGTCTCTAAGAGATATTTCCTCGAGTTCTAGTGAGAAGCAGTGACCAGTGAAGTTCAAGTGGGTCTGTTGTGAGATATTAACTCATTGAAGACAATGGTGAATGTGTCGCTCAATATCATGGATTAGCTGAAGTCAAATATTAACACAGTTGGATGACGGTTCAGTGGTCTATAAGTTAAGTATTCGCGAGCGAGACTGATAGGTCCTAGGTTTGAATATCACTAAGCGGGATCGTGTACACACACTGCTGAGAAGTCTCATACTAGGACGAAACGGCCGTCCAGTGTTTTCAAGTTGTCCACGGTGGTCTAAATTCAATCGACTCATAAATTCAACTATTAAAATAAAGATCTCCTTGAACGATTTATGTATCTTTGATGCTATAAAATCGATCCATCATAACTTCAATTTAAATGATTTATATAAGGATTAATCACTAATTTAGAAATGAACAATTCTAAAGATGAATATTAAGTGGAGAAATTCTATGAAATGAATTGGTAATTGTCAGCCTGCTTGAATATCTGGACTAAATGTCCTTACCATCTAGATATTTCAACAAGTTATGAAGTGTTTACGACCCTTCGCTGTATAACATCAGAGACATTGTGGTTATTAGTAGGCATTATGCAATGAAAAGAATGAAGATTATTCAGATGTCAATTCCTCGATTCCTAACATCTAGATTAAAGTTGACATGAAAAGATAAACGGAATTTGGCTAAATTAGATAGTCTAGATTTTCGATAGTACATATTCTGTTGTATAATAGACGAAGGGGAATTTCTTTGATCTAAAGCATTATCTTACACATACACCTATACGTTCTTATGTTTTATCAAGTATACTACATGTACTTTGGTCTATATTCAATTCAACAATATAAAAACAAATGATAGCGACCTTCATTAGCTACTTTATGATCCTTCACAAAACAATGGAAATGATATTTAGAAGAGTTATTTTATATGAAAGAAAACAGTTATTATATGTTACTTACCCGGTCTACCAGTTGAAGCATTTCTTGTACGTCCAAGTTCAACATGTTCTTTTGGTAATGCTCCAAGACCGGTAATTGGATCTCTTTGAACTGCTGTAATAAAATTAATTTATATCTTGATTTATTGATGCATAGTTCTCGTGATCAATATATATCAAGGAATTTACTTGTATTGAGTATACATGGGAATGTATTCACCCCTTTGTATTAGAAAAATAATTATGAGGCTTCCATTAAATTTCTAGCTCTATCTATGTTTGTTACCCGTCGTGGTGGAGCATCGTCCGCTCACCACCATTCTCTGCCTGCAGCCTTCTAGGGTTATTGCTGGTCCCAAACCCAGGTTAAAGTGGAGGGTCTGGCTTGAGATAGGCAATTCAATCTAATAGAAAACAACCTTGCCAAAAAACGCTAACCAGAATAAACGAATTGCCACCTACCGGATGATAAATTTTTGTCTAAAATAATAACTACTAAATTTGAGTCTTATTGTGAATATAAACACTTTACTGTGAATCTATTCTACTCACGGTTTTTTAAGAGAACTGAGTACATATGCTGGATCCAACTGTTAGCCATAGTTCAAGAACTTTCGGATCAAAGATCACTAGATAGATATTTCCTTGTACTTCAGACATCTGAGCAATTTACTCCGTGTATAGGCTCCAGATGACCAAATCAACATAAGGGTTGTAGTATATACCCATATTAACTGATATCGCTCTACAGACTACACCTTCTTAGATTACCTTTGTAAAATCCATTATGGAGCTAATCAGTATTGCTTGAAATAATTTGTATGATTATGTATTTCAATTGCACAACCAATTAAGATGAAGGACTTTTACACAGTTTAGAGAATCTTTATTCGCTACTGATTGATCGTAGTTGAGGCTCATTGAAACCGTAGTGTTGGACAACTACTTAATCGTAGTATATGATTCATTAACTTCAAAATGTTTTTTGATTTCTACTGAAAAGTCATGACTGGCGTAGTTCAGACATGTTGGGAAGGAAATAGTTGTTACTAATGATATTGAATGAATACCGTGAATCTTTTAAAGTTATGGATCATACTATTAGATGTTTACCCGATAGCGTTCATGGTATGCGACGAGTCTGTTAAATGAATGTTCGATCTGATTTCTGAGACGCTTCTAATAACTTCCGGCTAAATCTAAACGGTGAACTGAACACAAAAGAATTGGCTCAAAATAAAAAATGAGCACTTCACTCTAAAGTTAGTATATTCATAATTACACACGACTCTGAGCTTCTAAAAGTTCAAAAAACCATACTAAACAAACTGGCTGTATACATTAATAACCAATCAGAAACATCACACGTGACTTTTAATTTTTAGATGCTTCTGGTAGGCATCCATTCAACTTTCATTGGATAAGGTGTTTCCAAGCATTTTCTTTATCCCTACAAACATTTATGATAAATACTTTGGAACTACCTAAAAGTAAAACGTTAACCACAAGCACCTCATTGTTCACTTTCGAGATTTCACCTATAAACCACTGAGGATTCCTATCATACTTAAAAACAACTAACTGTCCAATAGTCCTCAGTTTTCAACCCAACCACATAACAGATTATTAATTAACTATTGACTAATTGAAAATAACAATGTACATAGTATAAATGAGTAAGATAATGTTAACTGTTTTGAAACCTTTCAAACCAATCAATGTTTATCAATAAATGAACTGTAAACTGCGAAAAAGGGTTGTGATTCAAATGCAATAATCTTTTATATACAACTAAAAATCATAACAATGAGCAGTATACAAGGGATACAACAAAAGCATACTGAAATATATTGAACATTTAATACATGCAAAGCAAAAATCATTTCTAATTAACAGTTGATCAGTATTTGTTATGGACAAATGAAAATAATATCAGAAAAGGGTTTTGTGGATATTATAGTAATTTCAATAGTTGAGATCATGAGACAAATGAAATTAGACTGCCATAGAAAAACCTGGTATCACTGGACGGCCATTTCTTTCTATTGTGAAACTCCTCAACAGTGAGCATCCACGATCCCATACGTTGGAATAACTCGAACACAGGACTTACCAGTCTCGTGAGCGAACGCTTAGCCACTAGACCACTTAGCCGGCATCCAATGGTGTCAATGTTTAACTTCAACTAATTTGTGATATTGAGCGATACATCCATTATTGTCTTCAATGAGTTACTATCTCACAGCTGACAGGTTGAACTCCACTGGTCACTGCTTCTCACTAGAACTCCAGGAAATACCTCTTGAAACCAGTCACTAGAGAGCATATTCATAGGAAGAAACGACCATCCAGTGCTTCCAGGTTTTTCACTCAACTGATAATTACTAGAGATGGTTGGTGACTAGCGGTGAAATCCAGAAAGCGCGTCTCTTCCTATTCTGGAGACGTCAGCTGGATGTACCTGCATCCCAGAGTGGATGTTCACTTCGAGACTCGAATTCGGTTTCGTTCACTTTAAACACCATCGCGTTTTCCACTTAGCTGCTGAGTCAAGATAGCCACTGGCGTGTGCGCTGGGATTGAAAATACGATGCCATTTATAGCAAACGATACTGGATTTGAGTCCTGTGGTGACCATCAACTCTGAGATGCAGGTACATCTAGCTAACGAGTCCCGAAATAGGACGAGACGTGCGCCAAACTGTATTCTACTGCTATCTACCATCATCTCTGCTTTAAACGCTGGTGACTTAAGGCAATATCAAGGCAATCCGAACAGCTTGAATATATGTCAATAAGAAACTGATCAATCAAAGTCCTACATATCAATGAGAAGATTCAAACAATCAATGCAAAAACGGATCATTACTAAGGTTATTTATAGAGCTGAAAATTGAACTTAAACAGAGAGAAAATGAGATTGTACAACCCAAGAAAGAAGACAAAAACTTTTGTCATATGTAAATTTTATTCACCATGCGAAAACACGGCAACAGAGTATTAACCAAATACACCCATTACTGTACAAGTTTTACTAAGAATGAATGGTTAGTCAGAAAACATGAAACATATTTCAATTATTAAGAAAATAAATGGATTTTACACTGAATGTGTACAACCATATATTATGCCGAGTAAATGTCACAATAAATCAATACAAACGGTTATAATATTGAATAAACATTACATAAACATTACTATCAATTTAAAACTAAACCAGTGATATACTGGGTAAATATCACAAGAATCATAAAAGGACATGGATAATGGATAGCAGTGGAATCCACTATGCACTTTTCATCCTATATAGGATTTATCAACGGAGTGTGTCTGCATTCGAAGTGTTTTCACATCAATCTGAGATGTGTCACAAAATATTAAGTCTCCTAATGACAGGAAAAGTTTTCAGTCAACCCAGCACTTCCACACTGCAACAGTCCGTTGCCACATTTTACCATCAAATGTCTTGATGCAGTTGAGAGTGAGGAGAGTCCGCTCTCTCTCTTTGGAAATGCTCTCACATGGCCACGCGTATACACCCACCACCAGGGGAATCCTACTTACTGCACTCTCATGTTGAGGGTGTTGTTTACTGGATTGAGAGTATGAAAAGCGAATAACCAGAAAGAATAAATGGCGTAAGAACCTACTCTCGTTGACCAACTACCATGAGAGTGTATCTCCTGATTTTGTCTCATTGACTTGTGGATTAAACCTTTAAGTCATATGGTTGTGGAGTGTATTCCTAAGAAAACCACGTGCTTCAGTTTGGGTGCACGGGTAGTATCCCGGCCCTCACATAAATTGAATGATTTATGTAGCGCATATCTATTTCGTACCTCCTTGTACCAATATTTATGTGTTTAAATAAAAAAATAAATAAAATAGACAGAAGAAAAAAATCGATAATTAACTTCCTAAATCGATAATATTCCTTCTCGAGTGTTTTTTTTTCTTAGAAAAAGTAATACCAGTCTTAGATAAATCGATCCTGATTATTGATCGATTATAATCAAGTATAAAATGTCAAAATGTATTTTTATAAATTACAGTCCAATCGATTTTCCACATCCTACCTTTTATGGGAAATCAAAGGCTTTAAGGGGAAACTGGTATTTAGATTTATATTGACTGATTATTGATTGTCTAGTTCTTAATAATGATCAAAATTCTATTAATGAAGTTGTAATTTTAAGTGTATACTACTTATGTTGACACATTACTCCGAGATGTAGAGACAGACATATAAAGAATGAACAACAATTGGAAAGAACTAGAAAGGAAGATCCAGAACAGAGTGGGTTGAAGAATGCTGATCGGCAGCCTATACTCCATTGGGGGTAACAGGCGAAGTAAGGAACTACTCATGTTGATAGACATAAGTAGTATATAGCATCAGTCAGAAGTAAAACGTTTGGCAGCAGAAGGTTGAAAAGTTCGAATTGAAAACAATAGGAACAGAGAGTAATTGTAATAGTAATGAAAGAATGATGAAGATCGAGACACTTGATGAAGGATTTACAAATGAAGTATTGGATGTATGGTTTTTAACAATTTGTGAAAGAACACAGGAATTCTGTATTGAAATATAATGAGTTGTCCCAGTCCAAGTGACTCAACACGACAGTATACAATTTAAATGGATGGATAGAAGCATGATTTGCTGGTAATTAAGATGGTCCTAAAAAAAACTTGAATTAAATTTATGTGAATAATTCTAGGTATATACATGGTGTATAGCAGGTAACACCAATCATATGTGGAATGTCTGGCAGTAGAAGACTAAGAAGATCGAGTCAAAGAAAACAGAAAAAGAAATACAAAGGAACTGTGAATTGAAAGAACAATTGTTGAAAGATTCACAAATGTAGTATTTAATGTATGGTTCTTACATTTTACGAAGATATTCTGTAATAATAAATTGATCGTCCCCATCTAAGTGTTCGTTCATTACACTATCAGATTAAAAGTTTGAAAAGAACAGTAAACAAAGTTGAAATTCAGTTTCAAGATCTCTAAATTATGTGAAACAGTCCTACTGTATGGAACTGAAAGGTGGAGAACTACTACAATCATCATCAAAAAAATATGCACAAGTATTTGTAAACAATTGTCTACACAAGATACTCAACGTCAGTTGGTCGGAAAACGTCACCAACAACCTACTTTAGAAGAGAAAAAACCAGCTTCCTGCTAAGGAGGAATTTATGATAAGACAATGAAAGTGATTAGGACATACGTTGGAGAAAGCATCAAACTGCATCACGAGACAAGCTCTAGGTTGGAATCCTGAAGGAAAACGGGAAAGAGGAATAACAAATGATACAGTGCATCAGGAATTGAAAGCAGACATTGAAAGGTTGAATAGCAACTGGAAAGAATCATCGACGACAGAGTTGAATAATGAATGTTGATGGGTGGCTTATGTTCCTCGATAGGGGGTAACAGGCGTAGGTAAGTAAATAAGGAAGTAAGTCATTTAGAATATTTATGTCAATTCGGTGAATTTACACTTGCATAAATTCATACCCATTCTTATCACTATATACATATACAACTAAGTGTTATTTCATTCAGGTCATTTAACCATAGTTATACATGAGTAGAGATCAAGTAAAACAGGCAGAAAGTTCATTTCCTTTACTAAACTAATTTCTATAATTAACATGTTAACTGATAAAAAAATTTTCACAAATTTTGTTACTGAGTTATTTGTTGTTTTTTGGATCATTCACGTTAATACCCCATTAGTAAAGAATGTTTATAGACAATACATTAATAATTGACACAATTAATCATGTATATATCCTGTCTAACATTTATATAGAGATGCTTTATGATGGTGGTGAAAATTTGGACCTTACGTGAATGATTTTGTTGGAGCTTTTGTTCTCTGAGCTAAACATCATCAGCACAAACTTCAGGTAGTTTAAAGTTTGTGCTGATGATATCGTTCAGAATGACGATGAAGGCTCCACGACCAAACCATCCAGCTCAGAGAACAAAACTCCATCAAAGATGCTTTGTTTCAATATGAAATTCTCCAGAGAATAATACTAGGATATATTAGTGCACACCAGGACTAGGTGGTTAAATGTAAACAGGTGATTAGGCTCTGTAACTGATATTTCAATAATTCAAAGAATCTTGTCATGGGATCTAAGCCTTAATCACCCAGCTTCATAATCTGAGACATTATCGCTGAAATTCTTTAGTCTCGATCGGCCTCATGTATAGATGAAACGTTAACAATTGACTTATCACTCACTAATGACCAATGTGACGTTCATATAGTCTTTTAGTACTGTTTTGCATCCTATCTATCAAGTTTCAATGTGACGACTTATTTAAATGACTCCAAATCGCATACGTTATACTGACGAAGGCCAGCTACCACAAAAACAAAAATTCAGGACTTCCGCAGCCTATCTTTAGGCATCAGACATTGAGTGAATCTGATTAGAAAACAGTTAAGAAGCCATAGAGTATTAAAGAATTCTTTAAGTCTATCATGAAAATCCATAATGTGCTACTATAATTCGTCTCGGAATCAATACCAGAAAGTTTGGGGCATATTTATTTATCTGAAAACACAAATATTGGTAAAAAGAGGCACTACATACATATGCACCACACGAATTTCATTTATTTGTGTGATGGCTAGGATATCGCTCGGGTGCTCAGACAGAAATAGACGGTTTTCTTAGGTAACCACACCCGTAGCCTTCAACCTAAAGGTCTGATCCACAAGGCGGTGGAGTAACGTCAGAAAATTCAGCCTCATGTTAGCCAGTGACCATCGATTGGTTCATACGCCATTTGTTCCCATAGGATCCTGGAGCCCATGTGTACCATTGCTTCAGAATCGAAGTTTTCCAACTCCCATAGGTGGATCCTCAATATCCGTCAACCCGGTTAAAGCTCCAGACATTCGCTTTTCGTCCTCTCAACTTTGTAAACAATACCCCCATAGAGAAAAGACAGTGAGTAAGACTTTCCTGGTGGTGGTTGTATACGCGTGGCCATGTGAGAGCATTTGGAGGGGGAGAGCTAACTTTCACAAATCTCTCCTGTACCATGACATTTGGGGGTTTATGCAAAATAACTTACATTTTATTGATAATTTAAGATCTTGAATAAAACAAAGTTTGCACATAAAATATGAACATTGAAACTTCATCTTTAATCTTAAATAGAACACCTATTTCTTTTCCTTTAATCAACCTCACGTAAACTACATAAATTCGGTCATAAAACAGAAGTATTAATGAAGAGCTCACAGTTAAATCAAAAAAAGATAAATCACTTCATTACAAACAGTTTCATTGCTTTGTATTTGTAATAAATCAGTTTCTATGGATTAAATATTTTCAAAAAGGGAGGAACGGGGGTAAGTTAAATAGATGGTAATGATCATAATCCTGATCATCATGATGATCAGTCAAATAAGATCTGTATATAAAACAATTTGACAGAATGAACTATTAAAATCTTTTTTTAAATGATAAGTGAATTGATCAAGGTTAATTTATCAGTTACCTAAGACTTAGATTTTATAATGGGCAAATTACTTTTAGTTCAATGATTTGAGATCCAGTTTGTGATATTCCACTATTATTAATCACTATCATATTTGATGTCTAATATTTACTCAAGATGGTGGTTGGAGTTAGTCAGTAGGAAACCCTGGACTCAGGTTTTTGTGCTACTTGGCACTCGTCAGCAAGGCGTACCTGTATTATTCTTGAGAAACTGATGCTCTGTGATGGATTCAATCCCGTGTCACCCAGCTTGAAAGATAGAGACGTTACCACTGAGCTATCTATCACGCACCATCTTATTTCATCATAGTACACGCAATGTCGAGTCACCTAGACTAGTGGTCACATTGTAAATTGGTCGATAGGATTCGACTTGCACTAAGAAGGACTTGACACACATGACACAGATCACCACCTAGTGATCAATCAATTGTGAATATTGTGAATATATATAAGTAATTTTCCTTTCAGAATGGATCTAGAGTTTAAGTAGAAGTCATGACTAGTGGAGCTCAACTCATATCGAAATTCAGAAAAATACGATAAAAGTTAATGAATGATACTCAGTTATTATCATGAATTGATTAAAATAAGAAATGTGAATCGTATTATTCCAGTTCATTTGTGTAATAGTTAATATCTCACTTTATCCATCAAGAATGAACATTGTTGAAAAGTTCTACACTGTTTACAGGTTCCTAGATTTCAGCGATTACCTAAACAAAGTCACTATAAGTTAGTATGCTCGTATCATTAAAGATGAAACTCTGAACCTAAGTTTGATGCTATTTGACATTCTTCAGCAAGCTGTGACCAAGGAAAACCAATTCCTCAAGATTAAAAGTACACCTTGCTGACGAATGTCGAATAATAGGTACCAAATTCCTTGTTGACCATCACTGACCACGGAATATCGGATTACGTCGTCACATTTAAATTTGTTATTAGAAGAGGATTGTGGATATTATAGTAATTTTAATGGTTGACATCATGAGTCAATTGAAGCTAGACCATCAAGAGGTATATCCTGAAGTTCTAGTGGGAAGCAGTGATCAGTGGAGTTCAACCACGTTTGTTGTGAGATAGTAACTCACGGAAGACAATGATGAATGGTGGCGCAATTTTGTGGATTGCTTGGACTTAGATATTAACACCACTGAATATCGACTCAGTCGTCGCGAGAATGATAGGTCCTGGGTTTGAATCTCGCGAGGCAGGATCATGGATACGCACTGTTGAGGAGTTCCACAATAAGACGAAATGGCCGTATAGTGATTCCATGTTTTCCATGATAGTCTAGCTTCATTTGACTCATGATCTCAACCAATAAAATTACATTTAAATTTAATCAATAAGATCTGATTAACACTTAAAACAAAACCTAAACAAACATATCACTGATCATTATTCAGTAGCCAATCAATTATTAAAATCAATATATAATACAAATTAATTAATTGTCTAATTTATTGATTATCGAATTCAATTAGTCAATAATTTAAGGAAAAATAAACCACATTTTTGGTCTATCGATCTAGAATTATAATGAATCAAATTCAGAGGAAAAGCGTATGCATTATTACATAATCAATATATACATCTACATGCAATAATTTACATATGAATGCATGCATACACGCAGATTGAGGATTAAATAGGATTCGTAAGCATTATTTCTGAATATTAGTAGTAGTAGTAGTAGTAGTAGTAGTAGTAGTAGTAGTAGTAGTAGTAGTAGTAGTAGTAGTAGTAGTAGTAGTAGTAGTAGTAGTAGTAGTAGTAGTAGTAGCAGTAGTAGTAGCAGTAGTAGTAGTAGTAGTAGTAGTAGTGTAGTAGTAGTAGTAGTAGTAGTAGTAGTAGTAGTAGTAATAGTAGTATGAATTACTCACTGCGATGTTTTAAACCAGTTTCGATATCCACATGTGGTAAATGTTTTTTCAAGAATTCAATATCATTGCCATTATTCAAGACATCATCACATTTCGAACCATTATCGACATTGACTTTATGATTTGTTTTGTTTATTGTATAAAAGAAAGATTGTTTTTTTAAAAGAATAAATGATCAGTTTCTTATATAGTTAGTAAAATGAATTAATTCTGAAAGAAACTGACTCTAAAATACCTTTATGATTAGTAAATATATAGATTGATATGATGAAGCGATCAATGTTAGACTACGATTGAAAACCTAGAAGTGCTCAATGGTCGTTTCGTCCTAGTATGGAACTCGTGAATAGAACTCATCAACAATCCTACATGTGGACTTGAACCCAGGACATTCGGTCTACAATAGTCTGATGTGATGGAAGGGAAAGTCGATTTTCGATTAAATTATGAGTTATATTCAACATTACATCCGTTTTGATTCAACGTGAGGATCATTCAGTGTAGTATTTGATTTGTTTTCCCAGTATGATATTTTCTTCTGTATAATATACGATATTCTTGTATTCAGTTGACATGAACTATGGTCGGTAAGTGATTTGTTATAACTGAGTATGCGATTTAGTCCTCATTATTAATCAAAATGGGTGTACAATCAATATATAAACCAATGTATTTTAGACTATTAGGATTCGTCGTCTTTATAATGTTTTGGGGTTAATAAATCTTCACTTATACCAATCTTTGTGTTCTTACTTTCGCATCGTGGGAATTGCAGAGGTCCCTCGCTCCGAGTATAAGTGATCAGCGTTTTTCCGGCACAGCAATCAGCGACGACCAAATATAACATAATCACGACTCAAAGATATTTGAATATTCACTATTCATTTTAAAGAAAGATATTCATTTTAGGATTAAATGATTGTAATTTGAATAGCAATGTGTCACTTATACTGACTGTAACCATTTTATTTCTGTTGTGTGAAGATAGAATTCGTTTGCTATAAAACTGGTACAGTGTATTAATTAGCAAAAAACTTTTGAATGACTGCCTTCAGTCATATGTATACATATATCACATAAATTCACACAAGATTAGGTAAAAATTGTCAGTCAGTTGATGTAGTGGATATTCGTTCAATGAAATGGTTGGAAAGTATGCTCAACCATCACTTACATTGAAGTATTTCGTGAAGTCAATAACTAATGAATGAATAACACTGATGATATATGTAAGGTCTGTTATACATTAGTCATGAAGTGTAGTCTGAAGATTGATGATTGTAACGCAGAAGCGTTTACTTGAATAAATAGTTGTGTTTGTGCTACATATACGAATATATATAAGTAGTATACTTGAAGAAACACGATTCTTACCGTCAGTAGAAGAGAATGAAGAGAAGAGAAGAGAAGGAGAAAAACGAAGGTATTCGAAAAAGCAACAGTAATGAAAGAACAATAGGGTTTGTAAGTGATAATTTAAGAAAGATGTACATATGGTGTATTCAATGTATTATTTCCCATTTTAGTCCTCATTCGTTACATTCGATACTATGATTACTTCGAGTCATCTAACTTTCGTTCATTATCACTCTATTGATATCTAATATGGCAATGAAAACTGATAAACATGTATGCTACATATGAAATTGTCTATAATACATATATATCAAACTGCATAAACATATAACACGTCGATCTGTTACTATCCAACAAGTAAGTAAGACTTACCTGATTGTGTTGTAGGTGAAGGCATATTTTATCAGCCAATTTACAAATGAATTACTTCAAAATGTATATTTATAGAGACGATATAACTAAAATATACCAAAAAAGAAACAAACAAAATACTGTACAATTAATTCAATAAAACCTTTAACCAGTTAGTTCTTTATTACCATAATAAACGATATAATAATACCTTCTAGATCGTTCATAAATCGTTTCAATCCCTATGTACTTACTAGTAACTAGCTTCAAGATGAATTTCCTGAAGTTCTAATGAAAAGTCTTGATCAATAGAGTCCAATCCATGTCAAGCAGAGACAGATATCTACCTCAGATATTGAATGAACCGTTTCACAAGATAATGTATCGACTGAAGTTAGATATGAACACCGTTAAATACCGGCTCAGTGGTCTACGATGTTAAGCATTCGCGCGTAAGATCAAAGGCCCTGGGTACGAGTAATCCCACGTGCAGGATGGTGGCTATGTACTGTCGAGAAGTACTGTATTAAGACGAAACGGACGTCTAGTGCTTCAAGGTCTTCAATAATGGTCTAGTTTGAATCAACTCATGAATTCAACTACTAAATAATCAATATTTATTGATTAATTTCCAAATAAACTGAGAGAATCGATTTGTTTAAGTATATATGAAGATATTTACTTAATATCAAAGAAGTTTGTCATCAAAGACTAAACATAAGAATAAAATCAATATACTTCAATAGTTCTGCTATTGAGAACGAATAAAATAGTCTGTTTACTTAAATTTAATTTCTAACTAAAGTTCAAAATGAGAGTGTAAAAAAACATAAAGCATTGAACATCTATATCGTCAAATTATGGGACTGTTTATAAGTGATCTGCCATAACCTCACCGACGAACGAATTCAGTATTTTCACGTCTTGTTGAGAGTGCTTAAGCTTTTGATCAATAAATAGGTGTACAATAGTTTATATTCTTACCTTTAGTTAACTTGCTATATTGAGTAACTATCTCCCTCTGGTTACCGCTTCTTACTAGAACTCTTGCAATTACCTCCAGTAATCAGTCACCAGTGAACATATGATGACATTCCATGATTATGTCGTTAGTTCGCTAAGCATTTGATTATAAAAGATTAATTTTAGCCTTAAGAAGATTAGCTAATGCTCAACTTATTAATGAGTCTTATATTAGAACAAAACAATTTTTTGATTAAAATTGGATCTCTCAATACTATCACAATAGCTTAATCAAGCTGAATGAAATCAAGATTTTTGAACAGTTTATCATAAATCATCATCCAGTTGGTTGCATAATACAAGTATACGTTTAATACATACTACTGAAGTCGCTGACATGTTTCATATCACATTGAATAATTACGTTTATAAGATATTCATACAATCAATGAAACTTAGCTGTCCTGTAGTGAACGAACACTCAGATAAGAAGACTCAAAGCACTTTCATAAAATATGAAAACCCTACATTAAATACATTATTTGCATATATTCTTTCGATTGTCCTTTACATGCATCAGGACTTATACAATTCTACTGTTATTATAATTTCTCTCTGCTTCCCTTTCTGTTCTTTTTGATTGAATCTTCTTAATCTTCTACTGACATTCATTCCACTTTCGATTGGTGTTACATACCACTTATATCTGTCAACAGAAAGAAGGTAAACCACAGGCCACCAATTCAGCCCATAGTTTCATAAGTTGATATGGCTGAGACACGTGTTACGTATGCCCAACGACCGACTGCTTCGACTTGCGATGTTCAGTGGTATAGGAGTAGGTTGGAAGAAAGCTAGGGGCGGCCAGACCAAAACATGGCACAAGTCCATGAAGTCACTGACAAGTGGTCTGAGTCATGTTGTAGGTGTAGACTACCTGGTTGGGGACCGCGAGATGATAGCAACCGATGGTTAGAGACCTTGAATGAAATGGCTCAAAATCGTTTGCAATGGCGCAGGTGCATCCACTCTTTGTGTTCTCCCAAATTTTGATCTCCTTATTCCTCCTTGTCTCTTTTTTTTTCTCTTCCCAAATTTATTTCACAGGATTATACTCTTTAAATAACATCTCCAAACACTGATTTTCCTGATTACTGCTTATACTCTTACTACTTCTACCACTACGGGATTTGAATCGACAACTGCATCTCTGTGCTAATGTGGTATGGCAACTCAAACTGATGTACATACGTACGAAGTTCTACGTTGTTACTGACTGACTGACTGACTGACTGTCATTGCCGTATCACCCAGTTTTTCACCTGAGATGTTACCATTAGAGCGACAACTAAACCCCTATCTGCATCATTATACTGATTACACTAATTTATTGAAAATTATGGATCTATGAAAATTGATCATTATTAGACTTCCAGTTAGACAACCACTGAACAATACTGACTACTGGACAGCTATTTACTCCAGTTACGGAACTCCAATGATATACATTTATGATAACAATTAAAGAGTGAACGTGATTCATCCTCTTTAAGCAAAGATGGATAGTGACTAGCAATGGAATCTAGGATAAGCGTTTCGTCCAATTTCAGACTTGTTGGCTAGGTATATCAGAGTTGATATTCACCGTAGGAGTCGAACCCAGTACTACTCGCTTCAAAATACCGACAACAGACTGATCAGTTGCAGTCCTAAACCAATAACAATACAGAAGATACAAGTAAACAACACCAAATGAATATAAATTATTCTCATTTCAAACCTTTACCAACTTATTGAAATACAAACACAAACCCTGAAAAGGTGATTCTAATGAGGAAACAGACAACTTGACTTATTATCAATAGTAAATTCCACATAAACAAACATAAAAATTGAAGTTCATACATATCATTACTTATCTATAGAATAATGAATTATCTCTAAACGTTTATTATGCTCTAATTATTTTAACTTTTTCTACTAGTTTAGTTGAATGAAGAGATGTGACCTGAGTACACTTGAAAATGCAATAGTCTAATTTACAAAAAAGAAAAAAAAGAATCACTCTATAAATTTGTTATAACAGTCGGAGTTTCCTTCATCTCTACACAAATGAGACAAATATCTTCACTAAACTCCCTCTTAGTGTTTGCTCCCCAATGCCCTGGTATGGCCGAGAGTAGGGAGAGTCCGCTCTCCTTCACGAAATGCTCTCACATGGCTACGCGTATATAGCCTCTGCCAGGGAAGTCCTACTCACTGCCTTCTCGTGACGGAGGTGTTGTTTACGAAAATGAGTGGGCGAAAAGCGAATGTCCGCAGCTTTAACCGGGTTAATGGATACGGAGGTTCCAACTAGAGGAGTTGGGAAACCACGATTTCAAACCAATGATGTACATGTGCTCCAAGATTTTAAAGGAACAAATGGCGTATGAACCAATTATCGGTCACCGGCTACCATGGGACTGCATCTCCTTACGTTGTTCCACTGCCTTGTGGATCAAACCTTCATATCAAAGGCTCCGGGTGTAGCCCCCAAGAAAACCACCTACTTCAGTTTGGGCACCCGGGCAGTATCACAACCCTCACACATATCAAATGAGATTTGTGTGGCGCATATGTATTTGGTGCCTTCTTGTACCAATATCTATGTATTAAAATAAATAAAATAAATAAATAACTAAATGTCTATTATTCTACAGGAATTCAACACAACTCAGGTCATGAATACGTGATTAACTTGACTAGAATGTATTCCTAATGGAAAAGCCCTCATAACCGTTACGTAATCACAATAAATTTCACGTGATTCAACTAGAGAGAAAACCGTGAGAATATAATTTATAGACAAAACAAATAAAAATTAGAATAAGAGGTCTTGGATTTCGGCACGAAATTCACTCATCCATTCGGCTAAACTGCGTCTCGGCATTATAGCTGATGTCAGTTTGGGATGAATACCTAAAACCTAATTCCTAACCTAAACCATTAACTATAAATCATAATTATAATCCTTCACACTGGTTAATAACCCTCATTTAGTTCTAGTGTAGTGAACAGTACACCAGTGAGGATAATTGAATGCAATGAATAGGAAATTACAGAACGTGTTAATAAAATCTAACAACCGTATAGTAAATACTCAATTTTCAAAATGACCATCAATCGTCTCAAAATGTCTCAGACTTCATTGTTCTTGAATCTTCATACAAACTGAATTCTGTTTCCATTCTTTATTGTTCGATTCTCTTGCCTCTCTGCTGTCAGACATTCTGTTGCTGACTAACGTCATATACTACTTATGTCGACATAAGTAGCACACACCACACTAGTAATTAGGTGGGCACTCACAAGGTCACTTTAGTGTCCCTCAGAGGTCTCATCAGTGCTTCTAATAAACATAATAATTATGTTCGATTTATTCAGGACTGAAATGTTTGATTTCAGTAATCAATGCTTAGCATAAATTATGCAGTATTGAAACGAAATTCAATTTTTTTATGCAATAAACTTGTAAATATTCAAGAAACACGTAGAGAAAATGTTGGGGAGATCCAGGAAATTCCTCGAAAAACACCAAAAAAGGATCTGAAAATTCTGAGAAACATCTTATCCAATCAGCATTCAATAGAAGTTTTGCCAGAAATATCTAGAGAGTCAAAGGTCACACATCGAGTTTCTGATTGGATGATTACCTATACTGCTACTATGTTTAGTAGCGTTTCAGAATTCTATAGAGGTCCATAACCATCTAAAATGATAATACATACCCTAGATTTTCTGTACATAAACGAACCTTGGAATAAAGAGTTTCTTTTATATTTCTCATCTTTTCTCTCGTGTTCAAGTTGTTGTGTAGATTTAGCCTGGTCGTTAATAGAAGAGCTTAGGAATAGAATCTAGCGTTCAATTAGAAGACTTATCAGAAAAAGTTTATAGACAATGACAAAGCGATCATTATCAATGTTCTTTAAATGTTAATTGTCAGCTTTGGTTCAATAAGATTTCTATTTCTATCGATGTATATATCTAATGTATAAATCCTAATACAACTGTCTTATATTTCTCCAAAGAACTACCGTT